ACACTGCTTTAATCAAAAACATGTCCTCTGGATCTTACCAAATTGCCAGTCACATTAAAAGAGAAATGGAGAATCAACTGGGAAGAACCCCTTCTCCAAAAAGAAAAAAAAAAAAAAAGTAAACTCCTCTGTTTTATAAGTAATAAGTAACTGAAAGTAGCCAGGGACTGAGCCACGAATGGAGTGCAAGTGACAAGTTTTCCCAGATTTTAACCCACCAAAAAAGACACAAATGTGTCTTCTGCCACTTCCCCTAACAGGGCAAGCGCTAAAACCCCAAAGCTACCCACACATGCAAATAAGCAGGGAGGCCACTGGGGTCCACCCACAGTGACAACTGCCTACCACCTGTGGGTGTGGGTGGGTGTTCTCTCAGCTGACCTCCAATACCACCATGGCGGACACCCCTAACAGGTGACCCCTGAAAGAAATTTCTCTCTGTTCCAAAGGACCACCAGCAGAAACATCTGCAGAGCATCCCTCTGCAATCACACCAACTGAACCCCTCAATTGCTTTAGCCAGCCCACTTTCCCGTGGGGAGGGCCCAGCCCAGAAACGGGCTGGCAGGCCCAAAGCCGCACGGTCCCGAGCTGTTTACGGTTTCTCTCATCATCGTTCTCAACTCGGAATAAAGAATAATTGAAATAAACTTCAATAAAGTGAAATTCCACAACCGCTGATCACTCAAAGACCCCTAGGATGAAAAGAAACGCACAAACCCACAGGAGTTGCAAAAGAGGGGGGCAGCTCCGGAGACAGCTCCCCCGCACTTTCCCAGGAGCCGGGGCGTGAAATCGAGGGCTGAAAGCCATACATTCCTGGACTGGCTTAAAACACAGGTGGAGTACGGCCAGGGACAAAGCTTGCGATGGGAATCTATGCAGCTTGTCCTCGCACAGGACAACCATCCCGCCAAGCTCGCTGGGAGCCCTTGCTGGTGCAACTGGGACACCCCGAGGTCAGCACCTCGCGGTAGGAGTGACACGTCTCCAGGGGTCACTTCCCAACCTGCACCCTGCCAGGCTTGTCTTGGTCTACTTTCTGGTTTGCTGCAGGCTGAACAGGGCGCAGCAGTTCCCCAACTCTGCCAAGGCATTCTCCAACTCCTTCGCCGGAGCGAACAAAAGGTTTTACTCTCTCGCATCCACGACTCCTCCTCTCCTCCTCCCACGCACCCACGCAGGAAAAGCGAGTCCCGAAGTCCACCCGGGCTTGGGGACAGCTCCCCGGCACGGGACAGCTCCCGAGCCAGGGTCCGCCCGCACCCGCCTGCCCGCACCCCGCTTGCCCGCAGCCCACCGCCCCTCCTCACCTCGCATTCGGGCGCCGCCCCCGCCGCCGCCGCCCCCGCCGCCCGTGGGAGAATTGGGCCCCGCGGACTGTTTGCGCCATCCCCGCCAGTTCTGGCAGAGGCTCTCGGCCTCGGAGATGAAGGAACAGAGCGAATCCTCCTCAAAGCGGTCCGAATCCTCGAAGGAGAAGCGCTCGCCGTCCTCCCACTCGGCGAACATGAGCTCCATGGGGCCCGCACCGCCCGGGGCCGGCTCCCCGCCCGCGGAGCCGGGGCCTGGGCCGCCGGCCGGGGACTGAGGGGAAGCCCGGGGCCTGAGGGGCGGCGAGCCGGGGCCGCGGGCGGGCGGGGCGCTCAGGGCGGCCGTGCCGGCCGAGGATCTCGGGCCTGCGACGGAGACGGGACCGGGCCTCGCCCCACAGCGGGGTGCGAAGGCGAGTCGCGGCCAGGCTCCGACACCCGGGGCCCGGACCGAGCGCTCGGCGGCCGGGGCCTCTGGGCGGCTGCGGCGCCGCCTCCCCCATCAGCTGATCTGAACTTCCGGCCGCGCCGGCCATCGCCGCTTCCGCCCTCGCGCTCTCGGGAACGGGCCGGGTACGGGCGGGTGTGAGGGACATGTTTGACTCATCGCTACATTTCCTGCCTTTGTAATTCCTTTTTGCCTTGAGCCCACCCTCGGACGCCGTAAGAGGAGGCGAACCCCTAAAGCTATGCGACTACAGATCCCAGCAGCAACTTGGATGTCCATGTCTCCAAGGTAGCAACAGCCGCTGTGCATTTCGGGAGTCGTAGGCTGTCAAGGAAACCATTGGATGCAGTTCTGTCTTAACTCCGGATAGGCCCCGGGCCGCATCGCCTGCCGGGAATTGTAGTCCAGAAGCTTCCATGCAAGCCAACTTTCTACAGGGTCTAATGGGAGGACCCCGTTAGATGACAATGATTTTAGCAAGCGGTTTGGCAGTATGGATTTCCAGACTAACAATTCTTGACCTTTATCTTTTTTTGTGCCATGAATCCTCCAGCAGTCTGGAGCCTCTGCCCAGATGGTATATAAATATACATCATAAAATATTGGAATGACAGAGAGCAAATCATGCTGAAAAACATTTGACAAAAATAATATTAACAACCTTTCTCTCTCTGCTTCCTGCATATCTGACTTTGCAATAAAATAAATAAATCTTTAAAAAAAATAAAAGGGGGGGGGCAGTGCACTGGTCTAGTGGCTAAAGTCCTCACCTTGAACGAACTGGGATCCCAGATGGGCAACGGTTCTAATCCCAGCAGAACTGCCTCCCATACAACTCCTGCTTGTGGCCTGGAAAAGCAGTTGAGGACGGCCCAAAGCCCTGGGATCTTGCACCTGCGTGGGAGACCTGGAAGAGATCCTAGCTCCTGGCTTTGGATTAGTTCAGCTCTGGCCGTCGATGTGGCCACTTGGGGAATAAACCATTGGACAGAAGATATTCCTCTCCATCTCTCCTCCTCTCTATATATATCTGACTTTGCAATAAAAATAAATAAATCTTTTTTAAAAAAAAAAACTAACCTTACAAATATTGCTTTTGTATTAACACAATAAATGACAGGGCCCGGTACGGTGGCCTAGCGGCTAAAGTCCTCACCTTGATCTCACCAGGATCCCATGTGGGAATGAACCATCAGACGGAAGATCTTCCTCTCTATCTCTCTTCCTCTCTGTATATCTGCCTTTGTAATACAAATAAATAAATCTTTTAAAAACACACACACACACACACACAATAAATGACAAAATCGAGCAAGAACTGTAATAGCTTCCCTAGCTTTGAAACTGATGAAGAGTAAAAATGAGATTTTGAGGGGCAGGGATCTGGCACTGTGGTTAAGCACTGCTTGGGACACGCACATCCCCTGTCAGTGCCTTGAACGGGCCTTCCAATTCCAGTTGTCTGCTAAGGTGCACCCCGGAAGGCAGCGGTCATGGCTTAAGCAGCTGGGCCCTGCCACTCAGATGGGGAACCCAGGAGTTCCTGCCTCCTGGCTTTAACCTGGCCCTGCCTATGGTTGCAAACATTTGAAGAGTAAGGCCACAGACGGGCAATCTTTCTGCCTTCCAAATAAATAAGGCATTTTTTTAAAAAATAATGTTATTTCAAGAAATTTGTAACCAATCACAACATAATATGAAAATACTGTAATTTTAAGTATTATGGATGCTATTGTGGTCTGAACTGAAATGCTAAACTTCATTTGTGGTTAAGGATATAAAACAAACAAAACTTTTCCCCATTCAGTGTTTAAATCCCTCTTAGTGTGAGTCATATTGGTTAGCCGTTACAGCTAGAGTGGCAGTTGTGGTGCAGTGTGTTCCACTGCTGTTTGGGTTATGTGCATTCCACACCTGAGTGTCAGATGGAGTCCTGGATACTCTGCTTCCGATGCAGCATTTCCACTAATATGCTCCCTGAGTTCCTGCTCCTGGCTTTGGCTTGGCCCAGCCCTGGCTGTTGTGGAAATCTGGAGATTGAACCGAGGGATCAAAGATCTCCATGTCTGCCACTCTACCTTTCAAATAGATGAAAAAATGTAAACATCAGGGCCTGGCACGGTGGCCTAGCGGCTAAAGTCCTCGCCTTGAACGCACTGGGATCCCAGATGGGTGCCGGTTCTAATCCCAGGAGACCTGCTTCCCATCCAGTTCCCTGCTTGTGGCCTGGGAAAGCAGTCAATGACAGGCCCAAAGCTTTGGGACCCTGTACCTGCGTGGGAGACCCAGAAGAGGCTCCTGGCTTCAGATTGGCTCAGCTCTCACTGATGCGGCCACTTGGGGAGTGAACCATCAGACGGAAGATCTTCCTGTCTCTCCTCCTCTCTATATATCTGACTTTGCAATAAAAATAAATAAACCTTTTAAATTGTAAATATTAAATAAACAACAAACCTTCTGCAGTCCAGTGCAAAGTGTTTAAGCACTGAGCTGCTTCCTAGAGCTAAGACGTTCAATTTATAAAACCAGGCATCTTCCCGGTGCCACATGGGGTCTGAAGAAGCAGCTGACTTCCCTGGGAATGACCACACCTGGGGCATTACAAACTCCACTGATCTCTCGGACCCACACCTAATGCTGTAAGGTACACAGAACAAATCAGCTCAACCACACCTAAAGGGGCAGAGAATACAAAGATGCTGCACTGTTGCCACCAGGTCTCACTTGAGAGAAGTCAACGTGTTTTTAAGCACCAAGATGATTACTAAGCAAGCCTTCAGGCCTGATTATTGCCAGGTGAGAGTAACAAAACAGAATTGCCAGAGCCTTTTCTTTTTTCTCTAAGCAGAAAGCATATTTTAAAACACTTTTTCATATTTTAAAAGATTTGTTTATTCGAAAAGCACAGTAATTAGAGAAGGTGAGGCAGAGATGTTCCATTTGCTGGTTCACTCCCCGCACCCCGAAGGCAGCCAGAGTTAAGTCAGGCTGAAGCCAGGAGCCAGGAATTCCACCTGGTCTCCCAGCTGGAGGCCAGGCACCCCAGCAGGAAGCTGGAGAGGAAACACGTTGTAGCCAGGATTCAAAGCAGCCACCACAGTGTGAGATGCGGCATCCCTGGCAGCGGCTCATCTCACAGCACAATACCTGCCCCTTCGTCTGTTTGAATATAGTTCTCCAATCTTAAAACTTTTTTTTTTAACTGTGTGAGTCAAATAGAACACACCCACAGAACTTGCAGGTTACCAGTGCACTTGTTTAATCAGGGGGAACACCTTGTAGGGGTCTCTGCCCCAAACAGGCAAACACCAATTATTGAGAGTCTATCCATAGCCAGACCTCACTGTCCTCAGGGCATCCACAGTCAAAAGCACTAAACGGTGTAAAGGACTTCGTGGGCGGGCAAAGACAAGGGGGAACAGGGTTCAAGAATGACGGGCGGGGAGACCTAATCCACAACCGAAGGCCCCCGTCTCCCCCGACTTTATTTTGAGATAAAGCATAACTTCTCCTCCCGGACCATGACACCTGAGAGTGAAAGGAGGGTTCCACCTCAGGCGCTTTTCTAAGACGGCAGGCTAGCTCAAACGTCTCTAAGAGACCTCCGGTCGTCTTGAGAAGCAAAGGCTTCCCTGTGTTCAACTGAGGTGACGTTTGTTAGGGAACCTCTGTAACAAGTTATTCAGTTTCTTTGGGGGTACATTCCCAGACTGGCCCGAGGATTCCTGGAGTGTCTTCATCTTTCGGGCTTCCTGAAAACAAAAAAAGAACAAGATGGACAGTTATGAAGTCGGCCTTGAATTACACCTGTCGTCCTCGCGATGCCGACCCAGCACGGCGCACCAGGATATGAAGCAGCCTGAAGACATTATGTCGGTCACTTGGCTTAGGAATTATATCTAGGCTGGAAGCCAAATAATCCGTGCTTAGTTTCACTCTCTTCAGTTCTCTTTCAGACTTAGTCTAAGGGAGCAACAATTTATTTTTTTCAAAGTCATTTCCCCATTCATTATTATTAACCCCATTTTACATACGGTAAAGCCCGAGTCTGGCAGGATAGCCTGGCCTTCCACACCGTCACCCCTGCCCACTGTGGAGAGTTCACTGACACCGACAGGGGGGTCAAGGGCCACCACCCCCGATGCTGCTCCGCGGGACCCCAGGAGCCCTCACCTCAGCCTTCGAAGCACAAGCCAAGAAATTCTGGATCTCTTGGCTGCACGCTCCATCGCGGAACTCGTGCTGCTTCCAGCAAGCCATCATCACTGACATCTCCGTGATGCAGGTGGCCTCTGCGGGAGCACAGCGCAGGGGTGCTCAGCCGCAAGGCCATCTCTGCCGCCCTCGCCCCCCGAGTTCCCGGACCCCGCGTGCTCACCGCCCTTCTCCCGGCGCCGCTCCCCGATGCGGTTAGCTAGGATGAGGGGGCTGCTGGGCTTCAGGACAGGTCTCCGCGGGTTCCCAAGCCGGGCCAGGCGGCCCCGGAGAGAGGGCGTCGCCATGACTCCCCGAGCTCCCGACAGGCTCCGCGGCGCCGTGCGTGACCCGGCGTGACCTCTGCGGCGTGACCTCTGCGGGCTCGCCGAGGGTGGGAGCACGCGGACCTCCCTGCCGCCAGGGGGAAGGTGCTCGCGGCGACGCCGGGCGACCGCTCTGCAATCGAGGAAACTCGGGGCCTCCACCGGCTGCAGGCCGTACGTGGGTCCACGACATCCTGGAAAGGGCCCCCAAAACGTACAGTTCCTTGGGGGTAGCCTGCCGATTAGAGTGGAGAGTGATTGGCTTACTCCAACGGAGAAAGAATGGGAGAGAATTAAAATGGATTTTTTTAGGATGATAGATTGGGGAAAAAGTTTTACAAACCTATGATTTTTAAAATTTTTAACTTTTAATAATATTTATGTAGTTGAAAGGGATGCATGCAGAATATTTTTTGGCGAGATTGGCAGCAATTCATAACTGTTGAATTATCAAAACCACTTGAGCAGGACCCTGGGAGCATGCCCAGGACCTGGCATGGTTGGGAGGCTGGGTGTGGCTTCTCCCTTTATCTCCCTCTTTACCCCAGATACAGAAAAAAAAAAAAAAGCAGTTTCTGTAGCCGATGATCCTTTGTGTCCTAATCATCTATGTAAAATAATAAAGGGAAAAAATAAGAAAAAAATTGATAAGAACATTTTTTGGGGAAAACTTTTTATGAACACTAAAGCTGCAAAGAAAAACCACACTCGTGCACTCTCTATAGATGGTTTGCTTACTTACACACGGCCACACTGGCTGTGGTGAGGGGTAAATGCTGGCACTTTTCGCTCCTTGGTGGTACCACTCCTGCCTTCAGTTGCAATGCTTTCTATCTCAGTTTTGTTCTTAAGTAACTTAGCTGTTTTTTCATAAAAACCCAGTACAAAGATATGCTAAGGATTCTCAGAACGTTTCCAAATGAACTTGAAGAAAAATGTTTCTGGCAATGCAAACCAGCCTGTAGACCATTCCTTGATGGAGCAATCTGTGCTAGAGGCGCACAAAGCATTAAAGTCATTGATCAGAGACATGTGGAATCTTTTCTTTTTTTAAAGATTTTTTAATTTCTATTGCAAAGTCAGATATATAGAGAGAGGAGAATAGAAAGAAAGAAATATCTTCTGTTCAATGATTCACTCCCCAAGTGACCACAATTGCCAGTGCTATGCCAATCCTAAGCCAGGAGCCAGGAGCTCTTCTGGGTCTCCCACGTGGGTGTAGGGTCCCACGGCTTTGGGCCGTCCTCGACTGCTTTTCCAGGCCACAAGCAGGGAGCTGGAAGGGAACTGGAGCAGCCAAAATTAGAATCGGCGACCATATGGGATCCCGGTACATTCAAGGCAAGGACTTTTGCTGCTAGGCCATGGTGCAGGGCCTGACATGTAGAATCTTAACTGTTGATCTCTGTGTGGCTTTTTCCTCATGTTAATGCCAGGCAGGCCTTTTCTGCATTCTCACGCCTCACTTACCAATAGTTTGTAGCACCCGGTATAGTCTGAATTATCTTGTTCACTTATTGTTTATGGCCTCAATTAACACCAGCACCCATTTAAAATATAAACATGAGAGAAGCGAGCTTGTCCATCTTGTTCATTGCTAAATTCTTAGTACCTAGAATAATATTAGGCAAGGGTCCAGCACAGTAGCCTAGTGGCTACAGTCCTCATATTGCATGTGCCAGGATCCCATATAGGCACTGGTTGCTATCCCAGCTGCTCTACTTCCCATCCAGACCCCTTCCTGTGGCCTGGGAAAGCAGTCAGACAGCCCAAAACCTTGGGATCCTGCACCCACATGGGAGACTGGAAACAATCTCCTGGCTCCTGATCAGCTCATTTCTAGCCATTGCAGCCTTTTGGGGAGTGAACCAGTAGATGGAAGATCTTCTCTCCATCTCTCCTTCTCTCTGTAAATCTGAATTTTGAATAAAAATAAATACATTTTTAAAGAAACCTTATTTTTGTTTATTTTAAAGACAAAGTTATGATGCTCATTTCAGCAGCACACATACTGAAAGGCAGAATTATGGAGAGAGAGAAATTTCCATCTGCTGGTTCATTCCCCAAAGGGCTGCAGCATCCAGGGCTAGTCCAGGCCACAGCCGGGAGCCAAAAGCTTCATCTGGGTCTTGCATGTGGGTTCAGGGGCCCAAGTACTTGGATCATTTTTTGCAGCTTTCCAATATGCATCAGCAGGGAGTTGAAGTGGAAGAGCAGCAGCTGGGTCTCCCCCAAACCAGCAGCCATACAGGATGCCGGTACTGCAGCATACACCCGATACACCACAGCAAAGGCCCCAGTAAAATATTTTTAACAAGTCTCTTACTTTATCATATTCATTCTTTCCCCCCAAAAAAATCAAGCTGAGGACACTATTTTTTTAAAAAAGCAGTTTATTGTATAAAATGAAACCTAAACCAGAGCAGAGGAAGGAAGGCATAACAAATTGGTCAACTACCCCAGCCAAGCGTTAACAGCAAATATCTGGGTGAATGGAGACTCTAAGGTGAACTATATCAGCCAATAGATCTTGCAAGAACTTCTTCATCCTTGTATCAGTGAGATTAACAGTATTTCAGAATTATCAAAACCACTTGGGCAGAACCCTCAGAGCATGCTCCACACTGGGGATCCTGTGATGACTGGGTAGCTATTTACCATCTCCAGGTACTGAGGCAGTTGGGAGGTTAGGTATCCACTTCCCCAGGATACAGGAAGAAGAAAAAGAAAATTTGGAAATAATGGTCTTGCCCACTTTCCCCTAATCTTCGACCCTTCATACCCTAACCAATTATTATCAAAAGCAAAATTTAAAAAAAACTGAGATAGTAGAAAACAGCAATATCATTCGTAACAAAGAGGCATAACCACCAGCTCCAATAAAAAGATTCCTGTGAGTACCATTTCCACTACCAATAACAGTCTGAAGTAAGTCAACTTGTTCCCGCATACAGAATAGGTTGGGCCCTAAAACAAGGAAAGATTAACTTTGGTTGCTTTCTCTGTAAGAAAAGTGACGCTTTTAATTGGTAGGTCCTGGTTCCACAAGTGCTTTCCTTTGTAGAAATGTAGCACCTAGCTTATCCTGTGGAAACTAAACAGGTGAGCTGGCCCACTCCATCCAAGTGCTGAATGCCAATGTGGGTAGTATAATTACACGGATAGGTAAAGATAATTCTGCTCTTGTATAACCATCATTTACCCTTGTAATGCATATATTGAAGTGCAATATGTGCACATAATTGAGTCTTAACCTAGGTTTGTACTTGCATAATATGTAGTTGGCTTTATATTAGCATCTACATTTAAACAGACTACAAGCTTAGAAATCAGAGTCCTCACATTTGACTTCTGTTTTGATCATCTGTTGTATCACATTTTACCAGAGGGAGTCTGGAAGGTCTGCTTTTCCCACTTGTTCTTTTCTGCAAAAGCCAAATAGGTTATGCGAATATTCCCTGCCATTAAAAAGGATATTAACGGTTACGATGTTTCATGTCCTTCTCTTCAGACTTCACATTACTAAGAATGTAGGCCCTCACTGAACAATTTAAGGAACATCTATGGAGACATTGTTAAATTAGTCAGGTGTTCTGATGTCTACAGAACTTCTGTGTGGTATTCGGAAACAACCAGAGTCATTCTACCTTTCTTGTCCCACAGCCCAGATAGAGTTCCTAGTGTCCCTGCTCTCTATACTAAAGCTTCCAACCAGAGCGACAGAAGGATTTGGTTGCATCTCCAACTCTGAGGATTTGTATTTAGCCAGCCACTTGCTGTGGCCTTAAATCTGTCTCCTTGTTCCTTTGAATTCAGAGCTTTCAATGGGCTCCATCAGAAAAAAATCAGTTATAAAGTAAATGAGGGGCGCTATTTGATTTTTCTGCCACAATTTCCAGTCTTAGTATTCCTCTTTGATCAAAAACAAAAAAGTTCAGGAAGTCACCATGGCAACTATCAGCCACTGAATCTGTACCCGAGATGGGAACAAATTCTAATGACAGGCTACATAAGAAACAAACCAGTGACATCTGAAATTGTAGAGAAGGGCCCAAAACCAGAAAAGGAAAAGGCATTTAAAGTACAAAATGTTATCATGAATGACAGGGTAAATGATTTTACGAAATAAAACAGACCAGCAGCTTTGCATTTCTACTCACACCATCGTTTATACAGCAAGTGCAGAGCAAAAGAGCTGAGAAAGGCACCACCTCTTACGGAGCTTGAGGGATACAAGAGGAGAATTTTTATGTCACCATTTGGTGACTTCTCACCTTTGGCTGTCAAGTACAATCAGGAAGATGGCACAGTGAGAGAAGTGAGCATCACACGGGCTCAAGGAACTGGACGCCTTCAGCTCTCCTCGAGCAGGGGCTGTCTACCCCAGAAACATGGTGAAGATGGCGCTCATCTTGAATCTGGGACAATGTGGTGTTCCTCAAGAGCTCGTGAAAGCAGATTCTCTTTCCCCTGATGGAATAACATTTCCTTAGCTTGACAAGTGAAAGGCTCGAAGGCAACTAAAGATGCTGATTCCTTTTCATGAAGATCTCATGCAGATAATCCCAGAACTTGCTCTGCTGCGTTTCATTATTGTGGATCATGGCTGTGAGAGCTTCCCCCTGGTCCAGACCTTGCCAGTAATCTTGCAGCCACATCTCCTTCCAGCTGAAACACCAAAACAGGGAGGCGGGTTATGCAACTACAGCATAGCCCTGGGGCACTGTGTTTTTTGTTTTTGTTTTCTGTGTTTTATTTTTGAGGGGTGGGAACAAACAGGAAGAAGATACAGTGCCCCTGGCTAGGCAACGATAGCCAGTAAGTCACAGATACTTCAGTATCACACAGGACACCCAGTGAGTTAAAATTTCTGGTTTGGCTACACTGAAATGTGGGACGAATTCACCGACCAGTCATAGTCTCCCTGAGGCCAGCAAGGGAACAGGCAAACATTCTATTTGACATTCTGTGTATCATCCAAGTCATGATACCTTTTATTTCTATTTTTATTTATTTAAAAGAGAAGAGAGTGTGACAGGGACAGACCTAACCACTGGTTCACTCCCCGAGCACTGGCAACAGCCAGGGCTGGGCCAGGCTGAGGGCAGGAGCCTGGAACTCCTTCCAAGCCTCCAACAACACAGGTGGCACAAACCCACCTGCTGCCTCCCAGGGTGTGTGCATGAGCAGAAAGACAGAACTAGAAACAGGACCGGCGTGCTACTCCAGGCACTCCAATAAAGGATGTGGGCATGGATGGCCCAAGCAGCATCTAGACTACTGCACCAAATGCCCACCCCAGGGTGTTTAGCAGTGAAATGAAGTGCTATTAGTAACTATGCTTGAGCACCATGGCATTGCAGGCTAATCTTCCAGGGCAGTGCTGACATCCAATGTGGGTGCCAGTTCGAGTACCAGCTACTCCACTTCCTGGGTCCCTGCTAACAAGCCTGAAAAAACAGCAGAGCATGGCCCAAAGCCTTGGGCCTCTGCACCCACAAGAGACCCACAAAGAAGCTCCTAGCTCTGGCTGTTGCAAACATTTGAGGAGTGAACCAATATGTTCCTGGGTGCTGATACAGTTTGATAGCAAGGAACACCTTCCACCTCCTACTCCCTTGCAGACACAGAAAAAAAAAAAGAAGAAATATTTGAACCACCTACCTTTCTCCATTCATGCTCTCCCCACTCTAATTAGACGCCCACATGGGTGTGCATCCCTCTCTACTATGTAAACAAAATTAAAAAGAAAATTCTTTTAAAAAGCAATTGTGCCTTTCTAATTAGGTATAGGCCATATAAGCCGTAACTCTGGCGCAACCGCCCTCAAAATGCCCATCTGTGTTCCCCACCTCAACACTATCAGACAGAAGATGCTCAGATAACTGAGTTGATTTTCTGGACAGTCCAAACATATGAGCCTCTTACCCAAGCTACTTACAGCCTGAGCCCAATTCAGTTGCCCAATTTCTGTCTTCCCTCCCCACCTCCCTGCACAGGCCCCCTGCTGTTGTTTAATCACGATTGCAAACTTGGTCCATATACACTGATTTTCATACACCATTGCCTTGAATTTTATTTTGCACCTTTACTTAGCTTTCTCAGTTGGCTTCATCTCCCCACCTACACTCTTGACACCCCCAAGGTAGAGCGAGCCCATGTCCATGAATGATGAGACCTGCGGGATGCAGGGTACCCCAGCAACTCTCACCTGTCATTATCCGGGATCTCCTCCACTCTGCCAAAGCCCGGGGTGGGCATGGGGCAGTCCATGTGTGCGGGCTGGGCTATGTGAGGTTTGGGAACAGGGCTGTCCCCAGGAGAGGCAGTGTGGGCTCTCTCGGCATGTAACCGAGCCAGTTCATGGTCACAGACGAAACACTCGAAGCCGTTGAGGTAGTTGGGCAGCAGAGGGTCGTTCACACCCCATTCTCGCTTCTTCAGAGTCTCCAGGAGGAACTGGTTGGTGATGCCCCCCTGCTGCTTGTATGCCAGGTACTTCATATATTCCGTGTCGTTCCTGTCCAGAAAGTCAATAAATTCTGCCAGTTTTTGAGGAGACTCGAAGTCATCAATCAGGATGATGGACTGATTGTTGGGCATCCAGTCCCTCACGGATGGAGAGCCGCGGTACACGGGCACCGCCCCCAGGTGCAGGGGACGCCACAGCTTCTCTGTCATGTAGTCATTGCAGATGGCGTTTTCGAGAGCCAGGTGGAACTTATAGCGGGACAGAAAGGCCAGCAGGTCTGGATCCTCGGTGGTGGCTGTGGCTGTGTCCTGTAACCGGGCGGTGGGCAGCTCCCGATTCTGCAGGCATTTTCCGTACGAGTCCACCTGAGGCGAGGTAGAGGGCTGCCCGTCAAGAAGGAATGGCCGGTACCGCCGAGGTCCTGCCGAAGCCCAGCCCTTCCCTCCCTCGGCCCGCTCCCGGCCCCCTGCCCCACCCACCCACCCACCGGGATGTAGCGCATCAGCTCGCGCACGTAGCGGTCCCGGTCTGCAGGCACGTCGCAATGGGACTGCAGGTAGAGCAGCGGGGCGTAGCCCCGGCGTCGCCACTCGTTGCGCTCCTGCAGCGGCAGCGCCGCGCGGCGCAGGTAAGCTGTCCCGGGCAGCCACTGCAGCGGCAGCGGGTAGTCCGAGTGGCGGCTGAAGGTGGCGGTAAGATTGAAGAGGCGGATGCCCGGGCCATGGCTCAGCAAAAAGTTGTTGAGGGGCGACTCTTCGTGCAGGAGCGCCCAGCTCTGGTGCGCCAGGCGCGGAAGCGGCGCCTCAGAAGCGCGGAAGTCAGTGCCGTAGAAGAGCAGCGCACGGGTCCGCACGTCTCCCCGCACCCTCCGGTCCCGGGACGCCACACACGCGCCGCGCGCGCACTCGATGCGCTCCGAGTCCCCCGGGAAGTGGGGGAACAGCCCTGGGCTCCACCACAGCAGCACCGGCAAGTCGGCGGCCACCTCAGCTGGCTGTGAGCCTCCGGAACTGCGCGCCATGCCCACCGCGCCCAGGGGCGAGGGTGGACGGAAAACCGCGCCATCCCACGGTTCCTCCCACTCTGCCTCCCCTCCGGCCTCCGATTGTGCTCCGGGCCCGGAGCTAGCAGCACAGACCCTGAGCACTCCCAGCGCTACCAGCACGGCCCTGAAGCGGCAGGCCGCCATGTCCACTCTGACAACAGGGGGCCCTTCCAGCCACTCAAGACCCGCCCCGCGATAGCGGCCAGAGGAGGATTTACGCCATGCGGTAGGTAGCACGGCGCATGCGCGAATGGAGCTGGAGCAAGGACTACTGGTTACATCTTAATTTATTTCTTTACAAATTAAAGATGCATTGAAAAATAAACCAATGAAGAGAAATGAGAGGTCCAGAGCAGAGGCATCCCAGGCTGGGAGCAGGCAAGCCTGGCCACCATCAATCCTAGCCCTTGTTCTGCTCCATGGGGTTGGAAGGTAACTTGTCAGCCGCTCAGATACTGGAGTCAGAGTGGCGTGGTGGTGGGAGAGAACATGACTCCGACTACGTCTGCATTGCTTTCCCAACAACCACCGGCTTGGAGAAGCAGTGTTTCCAGTGGGTGCTCAGAGTGGGATATGGGCTGGCTCTGTGAGGTATTGCAAGTTGATGATCAGATCTCCTCCAGAACCATCCAGTGTTGGGCCTCTCTAGCTGCAAAGGAGGCTGGCACCTCTCCCAGGTGTGAACAAGTTTTGCAACTCGGTTCCCAGGTTCATTCATCAACAGCAAGCCTCCATCCACAGTGTGATCAATCATTGCAGGGGAGAGCACGTAGTGGCAGCAGAAGTCACTCACCCTCAGTAATGCTCACCTGGCTGCTGTGCCCAGGCCCAAGAATGACCCACCCCTCTCTCTCCATCACCTATGGCCTATAACCCCAGCTCTTGTGCACCTGTATGTTTTATCCCTAATATAGGAAGTTGTTGATGACACTGAGCTGAATTGCCCCATCCTCTATAGTAACCCTGGGATTCCCCAACTCTTTCCTGCCTGTTTCTCTCCTCTTGGAGGCTGGTCCAAAGGACACATAATATTGCTGAGGTCTGGGTACTGCCAAACCTCCAACACCAAATCATATACAGTGACTGAGAAACTACATTCATTACAATAGGATTAGCAGGAAAAGAAGGGTAGAGTGAGGGGACGGCGGCACCTTCCATCAGTAGGACATGACAAGAGTGGTAGGATACTTGAGCCCAGAAAGAAGGTGCCTCCTTACAGCTCCCCCTCCCCCGCAGAGACTGAGGTCAGCTTACATGACTTAAAGATATGGAATTGTCCCAATTTCTCTGCCATCCTGGATTGCTCTCTAGAAGCTGGCCTGAGACCCTATGTCATTCCCCTCTTGCTTTAGCTCAGTAGCTGCCGAATCTCCTTGTGCATATGACACAGAAAGTCCACGTAGGATGCTCCCCCATTTAAGCTTTTGTCTTCCACCAGGAAGTGCTTGAACAGCATCTCCAGCTTGTCTTCCTGTTTCACCACGATAAGCTACGGCCAGAACACAGGGTCAGTCATAAGGCAGGGTCAAATGGAATTAAACCTTCCCCCATCCTCTACTTTACAGCCAAGAAACCCAGGGTTCAGGTCAGTCTTACCTTCATGTACCGCGATCTCTGCGCCCTTAAGCTATCGATGAGACCTCGGACCTTCTTGGACAGTGGATTATCAAGTACTGGCAGAACACTCTAGAACATAACATTCATTCATGGTAAGGTACTCTTTCAGTCAAGATGGCACAGCACAAGATTTATATGTCATCTGGTACAGGGAAGTCAGGGAAGAATGACAGCATGTCCTGTTCCCCCACCCCAGTATTTTCTGATATTCAAGGGAACTAGCATACTAATTTGATCAGCCCCCTTTCATATTACATGCTAATGTCCACACCATGCCCTCACCAAGCCACTGGTGATCTGGCTGAAAGAGGCGACGCTGAAAAGGCTCTGGACAACACCCTGCTGGACACTGGCTCCCACCCAGAGGAAGAGATTGAGTCCGTTCTCCAGCAAATATATATCCCCATTGCTGAGACGTTCTTCAGAAGCTCGCACTGCTGGTGGTTCTGCAGTGCTCTCAATGGGAGACTTCGTCTAGACAGAGGACAGGAAGAAGCAAAAGGTTACCAAGAACCACAGAGCGCATCTGTGCCACCCCTATCCAATTTAGAAACCTGTGTCTCCATACACTACCCCTTCTGAGGATCTCAGTTAACTTTGTGAAAATTACATCAGATAATGTATGTTTTTTAAAAAATTGACTACTGTCTGGCACAAATAACACTGCCTCTTCCCTTCCTCCTAGGAGACCCTTTATTCAGTGCAATGTCTCACACGCCCTCAGTCACACCAATGGGAGAAGTCGAGGATAGAAGAAGACATTGGTCTCAGCCACATCCATGGTGGTAACCAGCTGTCGGACATAGGCACGGTCATCAGTAGTGACTTCGGCTCCAGGCTGCAGGACATCACTCTTCAACACACAATTCAGATAAACTGGCAGTAGCTTCATGCACTCCGGAAGGATCAACTGAGAGGTTACCAAAACCAACAATCATGAGAAATGCCTCCCACAGGCAAAACTTGATCACAACAGCCCTTCCATGAACCTGCCTGCCTCACCTGTCCTGCAGAGGAAGGACTGGCGCAGTTCTTTCTATAACAGGCCAGGATCTGGGCACACTGGGTGATGAGAGCATCACGAACAGTCTTCACAGGGCTACTGAGGACTCCCCGGTATGCTGGATGGACAAGGGATGGAGCACTGTCAGCAATCAGGTGCCTACCACACCTGCCCTCCCATCCTCACTTGGCAGGGAATCTGACTACCCTGGACCTTGCTCAGCCTTGATCCCTCCCTGTCTGACCTCTTCCCTCACCAAATTTGGCCATGTAGTTGATGAGCGTGTCAGTCTCACAGTTGCGATACAGGTCAGCCAGCTGGGTGCAGCAGTTGAGGGCCAGGTTGTGGATGCGGAGCCGACGTTGCCCTGCACAGCTGGTGTAAAGTAGGGCGCACTAGAGGAAGGGAGAAAGGGGCGCTCACACCCAACCCTCAGAAAATGCCTCTGGGCTCTATTAAGTTAGGAGCCACCCTCTCTGCCTTTGGCCTCTTCTTTCAGTTCTCCCTACCCACTCCTACCCTCTTCCCTGCAGCCTGTTTGGACCCAGAAACTGACACCAACACTTCCTCCTTGGCTCCTTCCCCCAGCCTGCCACCTGAAGGAGAGCGCCACTCTCTTCATTGAGTCGATCATCATGCTTGAACTCCACAGTCACTGTCTTGTCCTCATCCAGGCCAGCCAGCTCCACATCTGTTGTGTTGCTCATGTAGAAAGCTCCAAAGAAATCTACTGCACGGATACCTGAAACCACAAGAGATAGGGTGAGGGCTAAAGGCAGGACAGGTGCCACGCTCCTCCCTCTCAGATACTGTTCCTCCCACATGCTGCTCCCACCAGGACTGACCGGTGCTGGTCCGAACCCGCATCACAGCATCAAAGCCAACAATCTTCTGTACATCACGGCGCAAGTCCCTCAGGAACCGTTCCTGGTCATTCTCCACCTGTAGTTGCCCATGCCCAGGGTCACATCATGGAACACACAGCTCACCCTCTAGTCTGACTCCCTTTACCTCTTCCACTCCACACATCTGCTTAATCTTAATGACACTAACAGTAAAAATGATGATGACAATGATAGCTTTCAAGCACTTACTATATATGTCACCACACTGAGTACTTCACATAGAACTACTTAATTCTATAAACAAAAAGAACAAAGGGGGAACTAGTTCGTTTGTCTGAGGAACAGGCATTCAGCCCAGCAGTTAGGACAGCATTTTGGATACTGGCTTCTCCTGTCAGAGTGTCTGGGTTGGAGTTCTAGCTCTACTTCCAATCCCAGCTTCCTGTTCATGCACAGCAGAAGACAGTAGGTAACAGCTCTGGCAGATTAAGCCCCACCAACCTCAAAGGAGAAGCATACTGTGTTCTAGGCTCCTGGCTTCTCCCTAGACCACCCCTGGCTATTGTAGGTATTTGGGCAGTAAAGATGCGGATGGAAGATTCTCTCTCCTTCTCTGCCTTTCAAGTAAAAATGAAATTAAATTTTTTATTTAAAAAAAAAATAGGGTCATGGAGCTAGTAAGTAGTAGAGCCAGAATACCAACACGGGACTACAAGTCCTGTGCATTACATGTGCATGTGACCATATGCTGTCAGGATTATCTCTTTTCACTCTATGGATACTACTACTCCTGCCCCTGAGATGGTGGCTAAAGAGCCACCTTACATGTAAACACATTCCCTGCCTGATGCCCTCTGCCACCCAGAATCCCACACTGTACCTGAAAGCAAGCATATTTGTAGACAGAGCCACCAGTGAGCTGGGGCACCACAGAGAGTGTGGCCACATCCACATACTGGTTAGGGAAGAGGAAAAGATCTACACAGCAACCTTGCGCCACACACTCTTTGGCCAGGGTCTGATAGGTGCCTGTCTGAGGCTGGAACAGTGTCTGGGGAGGAACAGAACAGAAGGTTCAAATATTTTCGTTTCTGTATATAAGAACTGTATATGTAATATAGGCTACTTTCCTAGGAATTTGCAATAATAGGACAATGTTCTTAAAAACTAAAAAAAAAAAAAAAAAAAGGCTAGCCACTGCTGTGACATAGCAGGTAAAATCTCTGCCTGTGGTACTGTCATCCTCCTATATGGGAGCCAGTTTAAGTCCCAGCTACTCCACTTCTGGTCCTGCTCCCTGTGAATGCTCCTGTGAAAGCAGGAGAATGGCCCTAAGTGCCTGGGTCCCTGCACCAACATGAGAGCCCAGAAGAAGCTCCTGGCTTTAGAGTGGCCCAACTCCAGCTGGTGTAGCCATCTGAGGAGTGAACTAGCAGATAGATCTCTCTCTCTCATTCTCTCGTTGTAACACAGTCCCTCAAATGAAAAGAAGTTAAATCCTTCAAAAAAATCTATCAAGGACTTCTGGCCATAGCTGGGATAAGGAAAGGTAGGAGCAGTGGGGAAGGCTGGTAGTCATTGATGTGACATGTGAAAAAGTAGGGAATCTAGTCCCAGTCCCCCTCAAGAAAGTTAGAGTAGGACATTGTGAAGAGTCACCACCTTCCTCTGTAATGGGAACTCCTCCCTTATTTTCAAGCCCCACCTTCTCCTTGTCTGTGTTGATCAGCTTTCTGTCGTCTCTGTTCTTCAGCTTCCCAGGGGCCTCTGCAATTGGGAGGGATGTGTGGAACAGAAACAGCTTCCCTGCACACTCAGCAGCCTAGGAAACAAGACAGCACACTGTATCTGTCCTTCCTCATCTATTATTCATCCATTCCTTCTTGTCATTTGTTAAGCACCAATCATGTTCAGACAGGTGGACTCACTGAACAGTCATGCACCAGTGATGAAGCCGAAGCTGTATCCATAAGCTGGTCAATGGAAAGTGAGATGAAGAATGCCCAGACTCTGGTCTTACCTTCAGAGCCTCCATCCCAGCCTGGATAACTGGGGCGAATACTGTTTCAGTCTCTCTTGTGTCTGCAAACATTTCTGGAATCTGATCCAACAAGCTGAGGAGACAGGTGGCGGAAACAATCAGCATTGCCATTCCAATCCCAGAAGCTTCGGTTCTTAATTCCCAGAAGAGTCACCAGCCCCCAGGCTCTGCACTTCCTCAGCCACAGTCCGTCTACCTACTGATCCCTCTGCTGAGCTCTCTGGCCTCCTGGGCTGCACCATTTCCCACTCCCCGCTGACTCCCACAGTCTGGCTCCTACCTGGTGATGACTGCCCGAGACTCACTGACATTGACCAGGAAGCCATCCAGCAGTGGCACAAACACATCAGCCACATCAGACACAACCATCATCTGTGGCTGGGCCAATGAGCTCTTCACGTTGTAGAAATGGAGCACCTTATTGTAGGTGACAAAGCCAACGCGGACTGCCGACTCTTCTGCCCCGCCTTCCCTACAGGAGATGACACTGTTACCCAGACTTGCCACTTTCTCCACCACCTACATTACATCAGAACTTAGACACCCCAACACCAACAGAACGAAGCTCGTGGGCTCTGAACTCTCACCTAGGCAGAAAGTCTAACAGTGACTTTAGCTCCTCACAGAGGAGCCTAACAAGGCCAGTCCTGATGGCATTGTAGGATACATCAATCATGAAGATGAAGGCAGGAGGGCTGGGAAACTTATTGTTCTGCAGAGAAGGCAATGGTAGGGGGAGAGGGACTTTGTCAGGCAGGCTGATTAACTAGAGAGATATCACCCTCAAAGGGGTGAAGGAATTCTCAGCTGTCTCATTACCCATCGTTACACCCCCTGCCACTATCACTCACCTTGCAGTAATCTACAGTGGCCAGGAATTCATACGAGCCCAGGGATAGCTCAGGACGGTCGTAAGCATCCACGCGCTTGCCGGTATGATCCAGATGTTGGAAATAGTGAGGGGGAACTGTGGGGAGTACGCCAGTATTACTCAAAAGTCCTCTCTCAATTTAATAATTCTGACCCTGAGTCCCACATCCCCTGCCCCTGAAACACAGACCCTGGTCTATCTAACTAGAAAGAAAAGTCATTTCTAGTTGAGAGCTTCCCCGACATCCCACCTCCAGAACATACCATCATTGACACAGCTGCAGAAGCAGCACTGGAAGCGCCTCCCTCCCTCGACGAACTGCATGAATGGGCACATGTATGCTTTGCAGCGATTGCAACGCAAAGGGCCCGATTCTCCATGGTCCACAACGTAGGGGGAAGCCTGAGGAATAAAGGGGAGGGGCTGAGATACGGAGGGAAGCAACAGGGGTTCAGACACGGGGGCAGATGAAGGGCAACAACCTAGAAGGAAGAGTGTGACTCACAGGAAATACAGGGGACGGTAGTGAGGTCTAAGAATGAGGGTGCTATTCACAGAATGTTCCCACATATCTAAACCCAGTAGTTTCTTTTTCCTACAGTCCACTCTCAGAACTGTACTGCTTTTTGAAACAGAAATGTGAAACCAAGCTAGGAGCTGCCATACGCAAATCAGGAGAAATCTAAGGGTTATCTTAAGACTCTTGTTCTGGGTCCATCTTCAGTCCCCTTTACTTGTGCCCTAGGCATCTTGATTTCTGCTTCCTCTCTTAAAAATGCTCTACCCCCAGGTTTCTGGGATGCCTGCTGATGCCTCATGCACATGTCAAACAATGAGTCTAGTGAACAACCACTTCCACTGGAATCCAGAAAGAAAAAAAGACACAAAAGCAGTGTTGAGCACAGCAGTTAACATGCTGCTTAGAACACCTGCATCAGTTTTCTGAGAGCTTGATTCAAGTCCTGGCTGCACCACTTCCAATTCAACTCCCTGCTAAAAGCCCCTGGAAAGCAGCTGAAAATAGCCCAAATGCCTTCCAAATAAATAAATAAATAAATAAATATTTAAATAAAAAACTAAAACCAATAACAACTAAAACACAGGGCAGAGTTGTGGCACAGCACATTAAACTACCACTCGAGACCTCCCTGAATCCCAGAACAGAGTGTTGGCCTAAGTCCTAGCTACGCCGCTTGGGATCCTGCTCACTGCTAATGTGCCTAGGAAGCAATGAATGATGGCTGGAGAACTTAAGTTCTTGCCACCCATGTGAGAGACCTGGGTGGAGTTTCAGACTCCAAGGTTCAGCCCAGCCAGCTATTGCAGCCATATGGGGCAAGAAGCAATGGACAGAATATCTCTTTCTCCCTCTGACATCTTCCTTTCAAATAAATATTAAACACACACACATAAAGTCTTAAGGTTCCATTTGCAGAGAGCTCTATATTAAGCTGAAGACATGAGGCAGGGATATAAGCACATTTCACCATGGTATGGCTGAGCAGGTGCCCAGCCTTTCTCACACTGATTTTGGGCATCTGGTGTATCCCAAACTATGCCTTCTCTTGTAGGCTACCCTAAACATCCTTAACCCCTTGGACTGTCAGGACAGCTTTTCATCATCTGGAGGTGATCATGACTGCAGATTCTCACATTAAGCTGTCTTCTCCCTACAAATTGGCCCTCTTTTCGCACCGTTTGTTCCCAATATGAACTTTGTTCCTATGCGGCAATTGCTTGGGCTTTTGCTCCAGCCTGCTACTACCTGCTCCAGAGGCCCTTACACAGAAAACTGCTGAAAATCCTCTTTCCTAGATACACCATTTGGACAACCAGAATCATATCTAACAAGGAGCCATGTTCCCCTCCCCTCCTCCCTCTCATTGTTCCCTGGCCCCTTCCCTGACTCACCTCCTCTGGGGGAAGCCTTGCCAGTGGCTTTATGACAGCTGCCAGAGGCACCTGAGCCTGCTTAGCCATGTCAGATGTGCAAGGGATATTATAGGATGTACATCGGATGTACCGGGGACTTGCATTCCCTGGGAAGGAGGCAGAACACCTGAGTCAGATGACAGAACCTTTGCAGACACCAGCTCTCCACGTGATCCACCCCATCACTGCCACAAAGCTACAGCTGGTGGCTTTTTCTCCCAGCAAGCCTTTGGATGGATGGAGGGAGGGGATGGTCTCTGGATAAAGACTGACAGAAACCCAATCAATAAGCCGATAATGTTGGACAAAAAGCCCCCTTAGGAGTTGATGCCCTTCTCACCTTGGTCTTTCACCAGGAAGTTGGTGGTGACTAGGGGTGGCACCTGGCCCCGGACTCCTGTAACAAATGGCTCTGAACCCCGGTTGTTCCTGTCATCTTCAATGACCTGAATCTTCAAGGAAAAAAGGAAATGAATGAGGTGACAGAAGAAAAGCAAGAGGAAATACCAAGCCCCAGAGGGTCATGAAAAAGACATGCTAGGGCACAGCACAGAAACTAGCAATCGGCCAAGGAACACCTCACGCACCAGGTCCGCCTTCGTCCTGAAGACCACACAAATTTCCACGATGCCCACTTCCCTCCAGAGTAGCAGCAAGGGACTAGGCAGACAACTCTGAGAACAGTGCCCCTCACCCCAAATTAACAGGAGGCACCCTACAATTCCTCTTATCCAAGAAAGCTGAAGCTTTCATGGCAAGCCATTAGATACAATTAATTCCATCCCACTCCTTTCCTCCAGCCAGCCCCTTCCTACTCCCAAATACATTCTGAGTTGGAGCAAGAAAACAAACCACAGTAATCACACAAAATGAATCTACCTGGAACGCATAAGTTACAGGGAACGGGGTGAAGGACAAAACAGCCAACAATGGTCAGGTAAGGCACAGGAAGCAAATGTTCCCTTCCTTCAGGTACGCATCAGTGTACACATTCAGAAGAGAGGACCAACACTGAATCATTCAAGGCCAATCCTCACTCCCCACTGTTTGACAGACCCAGCGAACAGGGAAAGGGGGATTTGCAGAGATGGTCATCAGACCCCTTTGCAGGCTGGCAACTTTGGTTCACTTACATGAAGAAAAGTTTGTTAAAACTAGAACAAGTGAAGGGCAAATCAGACTCAGCCACAGTAATAAAGCCTAAGTTCAGAAAAAGCCTCTTGAGGGGCTGGCACTGCAGCACCACAAGGTGAGCCGCTGCTGGCAGGGATGGAATCTGTAGCCGAGCACCGATTTCAGGCTTGCCTTCTCTGTTTCTGGTACCGCTGGGAATATGCCTGGGAAAGTAATGGATGATGACCCAAGTACCAGGATCCCCTGCCACCCTTGTGGGAGACGCAGGTGGAATTAGGCTGTTGGCTACAGCATGTTCCCATCCTGGCAGACCTAGCCATTGTGGCCATTTGAGGAGACAAGTGACCTAAGGATCTGTCCCTGTCTTTCCCTCTCCCTCCTTGTCACTCTTTCAAATAAAGAAGTAAAGCTTAGGACAAATACATCCCATACTGGGGTGTGTGGGTTCAGGTCTCAGCTCTACTCTCAACTTGAGTTTCCTGGTAATGAGCCCTGGGAAGCAGCAGACAATGTCACCCACACAGGAAGGAGTCCCAGGCTTCTGACTGCAGTTGGCCCAGCCCTGGCTACTGTGGAAATTTTGGGGAAGTGAACCAACAAACAGAATATCTTTCAAACAAACTTTTTTTTTTTCCAAATAAAATTCTTAAAGGGGCTGAGGGGAGGGCTGGTATGATGATTCAATAGACTAATCATCCACCTGTAAGTGCCAACATCCCATATGAGTGCTAGTTCAGTTCAGGTCCTGGCTGCTCTACTTCAATCCAGCTCCCTGCTTGTGGTCTGGGAGGGCAGTGGATGATGGCCAAAGTCCTTGAGACCCGGCACTCACATGGGAGACCCAGAAGAGGCTCCTGGTTGCTGGCTTCAGATGGGCTCAGCTTTGGCCATTATGGTCATTGGGGAGGAGTGAACCAGTGAATGGAAGATTTTTGTTTCTCCTTCTCTCTGTAAATCTGCCTTCCAAATAAAAATAAACCTTAAAAAAATCCCACATATTTAAAATAAATTTGTATAAGTTAGATATTAAAAATGACAGTAAGGGAAAGCATAGTATAGGAACCTAAGCCTCTGCCTGTGACATGGGAATCTCATATGGGTACTGGCTGGAGTCCTCGTTGCTCCACTTCCAATCCAGCTCCTTGCTAATGTGCTGGGGAAGTACCAGAGGATGGTCCAAGTGCTTGGGCCCCTGCACCCATGCGGGAGACCCAAAAGATGCTTTTGGCTCCTGGCTGTTGTGGTCATCTGGGGAATGAGCCAGCAGATGGAAGATGTTTTGTCTTCTCTGCATAAATCTGACTTGCAAATCAAAATAAATCTTAAAAAAAAAGAGAGAGGGAAAGAAAGACAGACAGGTAGGCAGGCAAAAGCTGATATGGTGGTGTAGTAGGTTAAGCCACAGTTTGTAATAGCATCCCATATCAGAGTGCTGGTTCTAATTCCAGCTGCTCTCCAATCCAGCTTCCTGTTAACATAGAGCTAACGGCTCAAGTACTTGCCTTCCTACCACACATGTAGGAGACTGGGATGAAGTTTATGGCATCTGGTTTCAGCCTGGCCCAGACCTGACTGTTAACAACTGTCTGGGGAATGACAAGTGGATGGAAACAACTCTCTCTACCTTTAAAGTCAATAAATCTTTCTTGTTATTTTAAACATATATTTATTTATTTCAATTTATTTGAAAGAGTTAAAGATTTTTCCACATAGTGGCTTACTCCACAAATGGTTGTAATGGCCAGAGCTGGGCCAGTCAGAAGCCAGGAGCCTCTTCTGGATTTTCCACTCTGGTGCAGGGGCCCCAGTGCTTGGACCATCCTCTGCTGCTTTCCTAGGTGCACCAGTAGGGAGCTGGATCAGAAATGAAGCAACTGGGTCTTGAACCAGCTCTCACATGTAATACAGGGATTATAGGTGGCAACTTTATCCACCATACCATAGTGCCAGCCCCAAATAGATAACACTTTTTAAAGACTTATTCATTTTTATTGGAGAGACAGATTAACAGAGAGGAGATACAGAGAGAAAGATCCTTCATTTTTTGCTTCACTTCCCAAATGGCTGCAACTGCCAGAGCTGAGCTGATCTGAAGCAAAGAATCAAGAGTCTCTTTTGGGCCTGCTATGTAGGAGCAAGGTCCCAAGGCCTTGAGCCATCCTGTGCTGCTTTCCCAGGACAAAAGCAGGGAGCTGGATTGGAAGTGGAGCAGCCAGGACATGAACTAGCACCCATATGGGATCCTGACACTTGGAGCGGAGGATTAGCCAATTGAGTCATCACACCAGGCCCCCAAATATATAAAAAAATTTTTTTAAGATTTATTTTTATTACAAAGTCAGATATACAGAGAGGAGAAGAGATAGAGAGGAAGATCTTCTATCTGATGATTCACTCCCCAAGTGAGCGCAATGGCCAGTGCTGTGCCGATCTGAAGCCAGGAGCCAGGAACTTCCTCCAGGTCTCCCACACGGGTGCAGGATCCCAAAGCATTGGGCCGTCCTCGACTGCTTTCCCAGGACAAAAGCAGGGAGCTGGATGGGAAGTGGAGCTGCCAGGATTAGAACTGGCGCCCATATGGGATCTCGGAGCGTTTAAGGAGAGGACTTTAGCTGCTAGGCCATGCCACCAGGCCCCAAATATATAAATCTTACAAAGAAAATGCCAGTTGAAGGTAGGGGCAACATTGGGCACAGCAGCTTAAATCACACTGAGAAACCTACATCCTATACTGGAGTCTTAACTATTCCACTTCTGATCCAGCTTCCTGCTAATGAGCATCCCTGGGAAGCAGCAGGCGATGGTTCAACTACTTGAGTTCCTACCATCCATCTGGAAGACCCAGATGAAGTTCTAGTCTACTGGTTTCACCCTGGTCCAGCATCAGCTCTTGTGGGTATTTGGGGAGTAAACCATCTTACAGAACATCTCTCTGTTTCTGTCTCTCATCCTTTCATTTAAAAATCAAAATTAAAATCAAAACAAACAAAAGGAATGCCAGTTTTGGATACTATAAATCCATGTATTAGCAGCTATCTACCCAGATGTTTCTCTACCACAGGTTCGTAGACAATTAAACCCAAAGTGGAAGGACTTAGTGTTCAACTCTGTCTTGTTCCATCATGTCACATGTAGACTCCTGGAGGAGCCAGCAGGACTTAAAACCAAACCTTAACATGCTACCTGGCCCCACCCTTATAGCATGACCATCTTCTACAACCCATACTCTGGCAACAATTTGCTACCTCTTCGCTACATAGTGACTTGAAGCATGCATATCCTTATAACTATAAAATCAAGACTCTTGAAGGGCTAAGGTAAGAGGATAGAGAGGGATGGACATGGTGGGTGAGGTGAAGATGAGGTCACAGGCATGCATGGTGGCACTAACACAGGGATGACACGTACACACACCCACCCTCTGCACTTACTGGACTAGGAATGGCATCAGGGTCTATTCTGTGCCTGGTTTTCTGCTGAGGAGGCAGCTCATTGAGTTGCTTTTAGTGTTTTAATAATAAAGGCAGCAGGGGAAAACAGGAAGGGAGACAAAAGAACAAGAGGCACATGTTACTTCTCTCAACCCTAAGCAATTAGACATGCACAGCTGGAGCCCAGCTCATGCTGCAAACAGGCCCCTCCAGATCTGACACTCCAGATCTGACATTCAAGCCTTTCTGGTACAACACAGAATCCTTACTGGGTCAGACTATGAAACGTCAAGATGAGGAGAAAGGGCAAACAGAAGGCAGGCAAGCAGAGGTAACAGAGAGAGGCTGAAAAGGAGAAATTTTAAGCAAAAAGGAACATTCCCTCCCAAAAGCCAGCCTCCCAGCGAAGGACTGCTCTGTGCTCAAAGGAGTGCCCCCTTCCATCCAGATTCTCCTCACTGAAGGAGAGGAGAAGAAAAAGGGGGTACTTCATCTGCTCAGGACACACTTTGCCATCAGGCCCCCTCACCATGGTGGCTCCCCAAAGGGAGAGGGAAGAAAATAGAATGGAATATGACAATGGCTTCTGATGGCTCTGAGGGGGAGAGTCACCCTCTCCCGGGAGCAGTGGCTTTCCCGATGGAACCTGACACACACACTGCCCCCTCCCAAACCGTGCAGCATTTTCTCCCATTCACACAGTAGGAACATACCAAACAGAAGCGTAGGAACTTACTCCTAAAATACCAGCCAGGCAGGGGCAGACAGGGACCACTGAGGTTTTCCTTCTTTGAACAGTTAACATCAGAGAATCCCTATCCGCTCTGCAGATCTGCAGGAATGTCATCCCCCCAGATCTAAAAGCACAAAACCCAGCTACAATACTCCACAGGAAGCCAAAAGTAACTGTGCTGTATATATGTAACAGGGACAGAATGCAGTCCTCAACCCAGAGGACACCGCTAATCAGGAGCTTCATATCTCTGGCTCCCTGCTTAGCTATGGAGTAAAACTGCCACCAAAATACTTCTGGAACTTCGAGTCCTAGTGTAGAGAGTCAAAAATTACATCTAGGTGCTAAGTCTACAAGATGATGAATGAAAAAGAAGTTATCAAATACATATATATAAATATACACACACACACACACTAAGTAATTAGCTCATCCAGGTTAACCTGCTTATCTAGTAGCCATAAGCTCCTTCCCTAAGACCAGCAGGCATCTACTTACTGGGCTTGGGATGGCATCAGGGTCCAGGCGCTTAGGAGGCAGTGGCTGAGGAGGCCCAGGCTGACTGCCAAAGGTAGGTGCTCCAGGGTAGGGGCTTCCATAACTAGGTTGAGAGCCTCGGGCTGGTCCAAAGGAACCTGAGAGACAAGGGTACAGCTGATGATGCAAATGCCCTCCCTAGCTTTGAAAGTCTCAAAGAAATGCTAGACTCCTATAAATGCACAATTATCAATTACACCAATGCCTAGAAAAACCATCAAGAGAAAGATCACTCAATCGCAACTATGAGAAAAAAAGACTATCTTATAAGCTCCACAGCCCAGTAATAATACCTGGAAGGTGTGCATCTATCTCAGCACTTAGTAAGCCATGCTAAAAATAAACAGAAACAAAAAACACGTGGGGAGCTGAAGCCTGTGGTTTCTACAGAGAACTTACCATTTTGTTGAAGTGGATAGCCAGGCTGCGGAGGGGACTGCATAGGTGGCGGTGGCCCTGGAGGCCCAGTCATCTGAGCGCCAGGGGGCAAAGCTTGAGGAGGAGGTGAGGACACATGGTTGGGCTGGCTCACTGGAGGCCCCCCAAAACCCTGTCCAGGCAGGGGTGGACCAGTCACTGAAGGCATTCGAGGGCCCCCTGAGGCTGGGGGTGTGAAGCTGGAGGCCAGCGGCAGGGCAGAGCGCTGGGGAGGATGCACCCCAGGATGACCTTGGGTCTGGCCAAGGGGAGGTGCCTGGCCCTGAGGATAGGAGCCATACAGACCAGAGTTAGGGAAGCTTCCTGAGGCTGAGGCCAGAGATGTGGGAGGTCCTGCGAAGAAAAGGTAGAGTCAGAGCCCAGCCACCTTGCCTCCTTGTTTAGTAAATGCTCCTTGTTCAGGAAATCACTTCCCTTTCCACGTCTTGTGGGTTCAGAGGCACAGATAATAAGGAGGATCCCAACAGAGCCCTAAGCTTAACACCTCTGAAAAGAAGGGGATAGTAACATTCATGTGGTCATAGCTACTCACCATAGCCCAGCCCTGAAGGGGGTGGGGCTGGGGCCACAGCACCACTGATCTGCATTCCAGCTAGCTGGGCAGTCACCTGCGCACTCGTTGGGGGAGGGCCATAGGACGGAAGCACAGCTGGCTGGCTGACCGCAGGGGCCAACGGGGACCCGAATGGCTGAGACCCAGGGAGCCTGTGAAGAGGATAGCAGAGGTGACTGGTAGGACTCAGCTACCTGCCACTCTCTACAAGAAGCCAGTGTTTGGTGCCATCTTATTTCTATCTTGTTTTTTTTTAATGTTTATTTACTTTTATTGTAAAGACATTTATGGAGAGGAGAAACATTTTCCATCCATAGGTTCATGCCCCAAGTGGCTGCAACAGCCAGAGCTGAGCCTATCCGAAGCCAGGAGTGGAGCCAGGAACTTCCTTCAGGTCTCCCACACGGGTGCAGGATCCCAAGACTTTAAGCCATCCTCCACTGCTTTTCCAGACCACAAGCAGAGAGCTAGAAGAGAAATGTAGCAGCCAGGGCATGAACTGGCACCCATACGGGATCCCGGCATGTGTAAGGTGAGGATTTAGCCACTAGGCTATCAAGTCAGGCCCATCTTAGCTCTAGCTTGAGCTCCTTTTTCTATTTCCTGTCAGTGTATATTTGTGTGATTATATTCCTTATCACTCACACTATGATTATTCATGGTAAATCTTGTTCTCTAGTAGGTTTATTCCACAAACAAATGCTTAGAACCCTTAAAATGGTCAAATACCATTTTATTCTAAATTATTTACTCTGCTAGTTAATTATCAACTCCTCGACCTTAATCTTTTGTTAACAAATGGCCTGTTTTGTAATTTAAGGCCCTGAAGTAGCTGAAAGGAAAACCACACACAAGCATGCACACGCAGGGTACTGAATAAATGAGGGGTCAAACAAAAGCAGGTTGGGGCCCGGCGCGGTGGCGCAAGTGGTTAAGGTCCTCGCCTAGCACGCCCGGGATCCCATATGGGCGCCGGTTCTAATCCCGGCAGCCCCGCTTCCCTTCCAGCTCCCTGCCTGTGGCCCGGGAAAGCAGTCGAGGACGGCCCAAGGCTTTGGGACCCTGCACCTGCGTGGGAGACCCGGAAGAGGCTCCTGGCTTCGGATCGGCATAGTATCGGCCCGTTGCGCTCACTTGGGGAGTGAATCATCGGATGGAAGATCTTCCTCTCTGTCTCTCCTCTCTGTATATCCGCCTTTCCAATGAGAAAATAATAAAAATAAATCTTTAAAAAAAAAAAAAAAGCAGGTTGATGTTTCAAGATTAACTAACTTATTTGCTATTAAAGAAGCAGAAAGAGACAGACACAAAGAGCCTCCAACTAACATTTATTGCCCAAATGCCTATTATGGCTGGGACTGGAATGGACAGATCAAAAGCTGGAAGCTGGGAATGTAATCTAAGTCTCCCTTGTGCGTGGCAGAGACCCAATGACTTAAGTCATCACTGCTGTCTCCCAGGGTCTGCACTGGCAGCAGAGTCAGGAGCCAGAGCCAGGAATCAAAACCAGGTCCCCAATACATAATGCAGGTGTCTAACCAGTATTTTTTAAAGATTTTATTTATATTACATATTTATAGTTATATAATTTATATACATCATAGTAGGGAAACTGTGGGCACCCTTCTGATGGGCTGCAGCGCCCATCGGTAAGCCTGAGAACCAAGTCTGGGGGCAAGACTGGTTGAACTGGTAGCAACTACTGGCATAAGGTGAGGGCTGCATTGTGAGGTCAGTTGGGCTGAACTAGGCTATAGAACCCCCCACTGGTGTGTAAAAGAGCCAAATGGGATGGGGTGGGAAGAACTGGACCAGTCTGCTGTACACACCAGCACACACAGGAACCTGGCCAGGTGAAGGCCTCATGGAGATTACTAGAAGTCACCCTTACTAGGCTGCAGTTTCCAATGGTGTGCATGAGGGCCGAGTGTGTGCTGAGCAGGGTTAAGCTGAGTCACAGAATCCATGAGATGGGGCTAGGGACAGAACTGTTTGTATAAGCTGATGGGGGTGAAGAACTGAGCCAGACCCCACACTGGCTGGCACACAAGATTCAGGTCTGAGGTCACCTCAAATGAGGTATCTTTGGGAACCCGCCCTCCTCCAGCTGGACTGTTGGACTCATAACTATAACAAAGAAAATCACAGGATCTTTGGTCTGTCCAGTTGCTGAAGCCTGTGCAGTGAACAGCATGTCCAGATGCATATGGGGGACATGACAGCTCTTTGAGGCCTGCAGAGGACACTTTGGCTGTTTTTTTCAAAGCCATTAGCAGGGAGCGGGATTGGAAGTAGAAGAGCTGGGACACAAACTAGCACCTATATGAGAGGAGGCATTATAGGCAACTGTTTTTTCCCTGCTATGTCGTAATGCCATTCCCAAGCATTCTAATGCACATGGATATTTGGGATTCTCTAACTTTTGGTTATGACAATACAACGAATACTGAAATATCTGAGTATTATGTAAATGAGTTCTTGTGAGGCATATATCTATGAATAAAATCACTGGATCACAAAATATACATACCTCACTTATTTAGATATATAATGTCCAAGTATTTTTGCAAACTGGTTGCACTAATTTGCATCCCATCATCAGTGCGTAAGAGCAAACATTCAGTTTTACCAGGGCTGGCAATGTAGAGCCATGTGTAAAGTGGCCACCTGCAACACTGGCATCCTGACATACCACATGGGTAGCTGCTTGAATCCCAGTGGCTGCACTTTTTGCTTTGTAAATGCACTTATTTACCTGGAAAAGTAAAGTTAACAGAAAGATAGAATTTGCATCCTCTAGTTTGTTCCCCAGCTGCCAATGGCCAGTACTAGGCCAGACCAAAGCCAGCTGCCTGGATCACCGTCCTACTCAGTTGAGTAGCAGTGTCCCAAGCACCAGGCCCATCTTCTTCAGCTTTCCCAGGCACATTAGCAGAGCTGGATAAGAAGTGGAGCAGCCAGAACCAAACCTGTGTTCACACAGGATGCTGTCACAGCAGACAATATTTTAATTCACTACACTGTAACACTAGTCCCTGGCTCCTCCACTTTTTTCTCCCAGAAAGTTTTACTTATTGGGGTTGGTACCATAGGGTAGCAAGTTAAGCTGCCACTTGTTCATTCTGACATCCCGTATGGGTGCTGCTTTCAGTCCTGGCTGCTCCACTTCAGTTTTAGCTCCTTGCTAATGCACCTGGGAAAGCAGTGGAAGGTGGCCTAAATCCTTAAGCCCCTGTCCTTATGGAGGAGACCCATAATAAGCTGCTGCCTCCCAGTATTGGGCTGGCTCAGCTCTGGCCGGCCATTGTGGCCACTTCGGGAGTGAACTAACAAATGGAAGATCTCAATTTTTAACCTCTGTTGTCTCTCTCTCCCCATACTTCTGTGTAACTCTGTTTTTCAAATAAAAATAAATAAATAAACGAATCCAACAAGGAGCTGGATTGGAAGTGAAGCAGCCAGGTCTTGAATGAATACCCAAATGGGAAGCTGGCATCACAGGTAGCAGCTTAATCTACCGTGCCATGATACCAGTCCCTATTAGGTTAATTTCCACCTTAGGGCCTTGTAACTTGTAGCTCCTTCTTCCTAAGACACTCTTTGTCAGATCCTCACATGGCTCACTCTATCATTGTCCTGAGGTCCCAAATATTACTTCAGGGAGGTTTTTCTTGGCAAGTTTATCTAAAACAAGTCCCTATCTCCTCATCAAGAATTCTTTGTATCTTCTTCACTGTACTTTTGTCGGCCTTCTTGCATACCGACCTACTTGTTATCTTCGATGCACCCCACACATTTGCCTCAAGCACATTTACACTCAATGCTAAGTTTTCTGTATTCTAAACAGCTAATGAAAATGGAAGTGGGCCCAGCACAGTAGCCCAGTGGCTTAAGTTCTCACCTTGCATGTACCAGGATCCTATATGGGCACCAGTTCCTATCCCAGCAGCCCCACTTCCCATCCAGCTCCCTGCCTGTGGCCTGGAAAAGCAGTTAAAGATGGCCCAAAGCCTTGGGATCTTGCACCCATTTGGGAGACCTGGAGGAGGCTCCTGGCTTCGAATCGGCACAGCTCCAGCTGTTGCAGCCATTTGGGGAGTGAATCATCAAATGGAAGATCTTCCTCTCTGTCTCTCCACCTCTCTCCATATATCTGACTTGCCAATAAAAATAAATAAATCTTTAAATAAACAAAATAAAATAAATCAATCTTAAAAAACAAAAAAGAGGGCCCGGCAGCATGGCCTAGCAGCTAAAGTCCTCGCCTTGAATGTCCTGGGATCTTATATGGGCGCCAGTTCTAATCCCAGCAGCTCCACTTCCCATCCAGCTCCCTGCTTTTGTCCTGGGAAAGCAGTCGAGGACAGCCCAATGCTTTGGGATTCTGCACCCGTGTGGAAGACCTGGAGGAAGTTCCTGGCTCCTGGCTTCGGATCGGCACAGCACTGGCCATTGCGCTCACTTAGGGAGTGAATCATCAGATGGAAGATCTTCCTATCTCTGTCTCTCCTCTTCTCTGTATATCTGACTTTGTAATAAAAATAAATAAATCTTTCAAAAAAACAAAAAAGGGGAAGAAAATGACTCTTCCACTATCATAGCCCCTACTCACAGAACAAATACTACTCCAACAGAGATACAGTTTAACAGACTTCTAGGAACAGACAGCTTTATCAGATCATGCACCACTGAAGTTATCATAAATATAGTTTTGAGTATGTTTTTCTTCATAACTGGTCATACCAAAACTTAATTAACTGTCCTACGAATTATGTTATGTCACATAATATATAATATATAAGGTCATTCACTATAGCAGAGAGAAGATAAATGAGATACAAATAATACTGAGGTCCCGACCTCTTCACTTCTCCCTTAGTGTGGCCCAGTAGGAATGTAACTACTACCAAAGATGTTTAGTAAAGAAAAAACTCAGGCCCAGCGTGGTAGCTTAGCGGCTAAGGTCATTGCATGTGCCGGGATCCCATATGGGCGCCGGTTCTAATCCCAGCAGCTCCACTTCCCATCCAGCTCCCTGCCTGTGGCCTGGGAAAGCAGTTGAGGATGGCCCAAAGCCTTGGGACCCTGCACCTGCGTGAGACACTCAGAAGAGTCTCCTGGCTTTGGATCGGCTGAGCAATGGCTGTTGTGGCTACCTGGGGAGTGAATCTGTAGATGGAAGATCTTCCTCTCTGTCTTTCCTCCTCTCTGTATATCTGACTTTCCAATAAAAATAAATGCATAAATTAAAAAAAGAAAAGAAAAACTCAAAGGGCTGGCATTGTGGCATAAGGGATTAACTCTTATCCTGCAATGCCAGCATCCCAAATTGGATACGGATGAGAGTCCTAGCTGCTCTACTTCCCATGCAACTCCCTGTTGATGCTCCAGGAAAAGCAGTGGAAAATTATTTAGGTCCTTAAGCTCCTATATCCATAGGAAACAGGAGATCCCTGGCTTCAGTCTGGCTCACTCCTTGCAGATGTACCCATTTGGGGAGTGAACTAGCAAGCTGAAAATCTTCTCCTGGTCTGGTCTATAACTCTGCCTTTCAAATAAGTTAATCTTTTTTTTAATTTTCTATTTATTTATTTTTTTATTTTTATTGGAAAGGCGGATATACAGAGAGGAGGAGAGCCAGAGAGGAAGATCTTCCATCCGATGATTCACTCCCCAAGTGACCGCAATGGCCGATACTATGCCAATCCAAAGCCAGGAGCCTCTTCCGGGTCTCCCACGCGGGTGCAGGGTCCCAAAGCTTTGGGCCGTCCTGAACTGCTTTCCCGGGCCACAGGCAGGGAGCTGGAAGGGAAGCGGGGCCTCGGGATTAGACCGGCGCCTGTATGGGATCCCGGGCATGCAAGGCGAGGACCTTAACCACTGCACCACACGCCGGGCCCCAAATAAGTTAATCTTAAAAAAAAAAAAAAGACAAAAAGACCCCCAAATTTGCAGAAATAAAGTACCAGACTGGACAAGTGGTACAGAGGTTGAGATACCACTTGGCACATCTACATGCCCTATTGCCTCGCCCTGGTTGAGGCTCTGGCTCTTGTCAACTCCAGCTTTGCACTAGGGACTCTCAGAGGCGGCAGGTAATGGCTCAAGCAGGTGGGTTCCTGCCAACTACGTGGGAGGGCTGGCTTGAGTTCCTTGCTGTTGTGAGCATTCGGAGGATGAAGCAGCAGATGGGAGATTCTTTATCTGTTTCTGCATCTCAAATAAATAGTTAAAAAAAAAGAGCCAAGGTTCCAGATAGGTTGATAATCTATAGGGATGGACATCAACAGCACTTTCCACCTAGAAAAAAGAAAATCAACTACAAAAAAGACAGGAGAGAAAAAGCGATCTATGAGAAAAAACAAAGAGCAGGGGGAAAGGGTAGCAGTCCCTCACACATTTCTAATTTATCTGCTTCCATCACAACAATTTTAATTGGATCCAAATACATACCTTTGCATCTGAACACTGGAACTTGGTCCATTCTGTACATCTCCTTGGCCAAACTGGGTATATGCAGTCTGGGCAGAAGCAGCCTGTGCCGTTGAGGCTGGAGGTACCCCTGAGGAAGGTGGGGCTCTTGACATACCTGGGAGTAAAAGGCAGAAAGTGATTAGGAAATAACCTTCTCTATCCTGAGCCAGGAATGCAAAACAAGGATCAATAAGCTCAGAATTTCACTGACCCAAACCACAGCTTTGCAGCGCAAAGGCCATGATCCACATGCAACTCTAGCCCACAGCAGTGTTCTCAATGCAGATACCCAACAGACAGCCTACATTCATCCAGACAGGAATTCTGAGTGAGGCTGAAGCCAGAGCCATGAGAACAAGAAGCCAGAGCCTGTGTCCAGCACACTCTCCCACTCAACCCAGTTCTCACCAAGTCAATCAACTTTTTAAAAAAACATTTATTTATTTTTATTGGAAAGACAGATTTATAGAAAGGAGAGACAGAAAGAAAGATCTTCCAACTGCTGGTTCACTCCCCAAGTGGCCACAATGGCCAGAGCTGGGCCGGGCTAAAGAAATCTTGTCTGAAGTGATCCCAGACCTTATTCTTGTATGTGCTTGCCAGTATGGGGTCTGACTCAGTCTTTCACCCATGTCAGCCTACACACACACTGGCAGTTGCAATTGCTGGGTCAGTTCTGTTCCCAGCCTCGTCTCTTACATAAAGCAATGGATGCTGTGCTCTAACCCAACCCTGCCCACTACATACTCAACCCTCACATACACCAGCAGCCTAGTCAGAGCAACCCCCAAAACTCCCCACTAGGCCTGCCCCAGCCCTGGTTCCTGTGCTTGCCAGTTTGCACAGCAGACTGGTCCAGTCTGTCTCACAATCCACTCAGCTCTTATACACATTATTGGGTCTTGAAGCCTAGCTCAACCGAACCAATCCCACAATCCAGCCCACACTTATGCTAGTGGGTGCCACCACCTGTCTAACCAGGCCTGCCCCCAGCCCTAGTTCTCACACTCACCAGTAGGAGTTGCAGCCCATTAGACAGGTACCCACTGTTTCCATACTAGGCCCGCTCTCAGTTCCAGACCTTACACTTTCCAGGTGATTCTGCAATCTAACTTGACAGGATTTGCCCTGTTCCAGCATTTGCCAGCTGATGCTGCAGCAAAGCCCAACCAGCCTGCACTTACTCTAGCTCATGTCTACCTCAATGGATACAGTTGCTTAGCCTAGCCTGGCTCTCCCCTTTAACCCAGTTCACATGTAGGCCAACAGGTGTTGTAGTTGTAGTCCTGCCCAGCCTGGTCTGTTTCTAGTCCCAGTTCTCATGCTCACCAGTGGGAGCAGTGGCCCAGCAAGAGCCCCCCGAGTCCCCCTACCAGGCTTGCAACACTCGCCCTCTACCACCCTTGGGTGCTGTGGCCTAGTCTGGCATGGCTCACCTCACCTCAGCATTTGCTGGCGCGTGCTGTGGCCTACCAGCTGCTCTTCTTGAAACAGAAACCGAATCTAAAGTAGTCTAGTGTTTTCTTGTTGCTCTAACATTACAGAACATCTAAGAAGCAGAGAAAACTCAAAGAAAAAGGAGTAATATCAGAAGAAACATAACAGGGAAAAAAAAAAAAACCCAGATAGGCACAGAAATACCATGCTTTTCAACCTTAATGGGCTCCTTCAGTCCCAGAGTCATTTACAGATGAAGGCAGGGGCAGGTATTTGGCACAGTGGTTCAGAGACTGCTTGGGACGCCCACACTCCATACTGGAACACCTAAGTTCAACTTCCTGCTGCACTCTCAATTCCAGCTTCCTGCCTATACATACTGTTGGGGCGTAGAGGATGAACAAGTGATGGCTCCCTGCCACTCACATGGAACACACAGACTGAGTTCCTGGTTTTCAGCTTTGGCTTGGTCCACCTTGGCTGTGGAAGGCATCTGGGCAATGAATCAGTGGATGGGAGATCTCTATCTGTCTCTCTGTGTCCCTCTCTCCTGTCTTTCAAGTAAACAAAATTAACACATAAAAATTTTCAAAAAAATGGGGGCAGACATTTGACAAAGTGGTAAAGACACTTGGGACAACTGCATTCCATACTAGAATGCCTGGGTTCAAGTACTGGCTCCACTTCCAGCCCAGCTTCCTTCTGCATACCCTGAGAGGCAGTAGGTGATGGCTCAATGACTCAGGTTCCTTGCACCATGTGGATGACACAGTTTGAGTTCCAGACTCCTAGCTTTGCCTGGCCCAGCCCTGGGTATTGCTAACACTTGGAGGGGTCAACCAATGAATGTAACATTTCTCTGCCTTTCAAATAAATAAAAATTTTAAATGAATGAATGAATTAAATATGGAAGATGAAACCATCAGTCAAAGAGCCTCAATATACTTATAGATGACAAAGAAATGGTTTTAGCAAAACTTTGGATCAACAGCAACTACATAATCCTAGCTACAGACTCTGCAGGAGCTACGATCACAACCCGTCCTTTTTAGTTCTGAACACATGCAGATGGTTACACCCAGAAGAAGTGAGATGCCACTCTTCCATTAGCTGTTACCCTATCTAAACAGGGAAGACTCCCCCACACCACTCTCTGTTGCACAGATCCAGATTTGTGTTCCCTGTCCAACTGTACAAACTCCACACACAACCCAATCTGAAGATTGTTCTCCTTCACTTAAAGTAAACTTGGAAACATACCTTGGGGAGGTGTTTGCTGATAGCCGGATACAGGTCCATTATAGGCTCCATAGGCAACAGGAGGGACTGTGGGCCCTGGCTGCCCACCATAGCTGGACTGATGATACCCTGGGTAGACAGGCTGGGGCTGCCCAAATGGCGGCACTGGTGGAGCTGACTGGTTAACATTCATTATGAAAGCATCCCCGATTTGAACTCACCTATTGGATGAGAGAGAAGAAAGAAGTTAGTCAAAGTGAATTTCCTAAACAGAGAGCAAGAAAATAGAAGTAAAATCAGATGGACTTTATCAAACACCAATCAGCTTAATCCATCTTATACTACCAAAGCATCTCGGTGATTTTGTACCCCAACCAACATCCAGATTACCTCAACAAAGCAGAGATTCTACTACCCTGAATTCCACACTGTGGAACTGCCAAGAAGGTACAAATTTCAATTTCTAGGCAGACCTACTGGGAATGAAACAAAAGCCTTCATTTCCTAGTGATATGATTTACAGTATCTAGCCACACAACCAGTCCTGTGGCTGACAATTACATTACAGGCAAATGAAACAATGTTCCCACTTCCCATTCATCCTGAAAACATCTAGTACCCTCTAGTGTGCCGGGGTCTTTCATTACTCAAGCTAGAAGTTTAAAACATACCAACAAAAATATCTCCTCCTCAAAAGACAAATTTTAGAGAGAAGTGACATTCTTTGGTTCAACTGCACTAACCCAAATGCTACCCCAGCCCTACTATTCTCCCTGCTAAAAGTGTGTGCGGGATCTTAGAAGCATGAAAAATTGCTAAACTTAAAGGACACCTGAATACTCCAACGAAGTAATAGTAATGCACAACAATGTCAGCTAATCCCAAGTAACACTGCAGGAATCGGAGATACAGTTAAGTTGCACAGAGAACACTACCCCTCCCCTCGGGCAGAGCCTCATAAGTATTTCAAATTTTATCTTGCTTCCAGTCTCCTGTTTCTGCCCCTGTAATCCCTGGGATGCCAAAATTCTTACCAACCTGCCCATCCACGAAGGGAGGGCCTTCCAAGAGGAGGACTCCCCACTCAGGTCCATTTTAGCCTGCCTGTATCATTCTAAGGATCAAGGACCCGGCAGCAGGGGGACTCATGTTGCAGTAGGAAGAACTAGGGGTCTCTCGCGTTGGCTGCTCTTAGGCGACAACTTTGGAAAAACTCGAAGCCACGGCAGGAACTGCTCTCCCAAATGCTAAGCCTTGCACAAATCACTGACACTAAGAAGCTTGACATTCCGGGCCACTGCCCCATCCCCACTCCCAGTCCTCTTTATCTTCCTAAGTCAGAGGGACCCGAGGAGAAGGGGTGGGAGGGGAAGGAAAGTCTTTCAAGACATAATCCCCTTAGACACAATCAAGAGGCAGGAATCAAGACTCCAATCTCGACTGCACTCCTGGTGGACAGTCCCGGCTGACAAGCGAAGGGGGGCGCGGCACGCTTTCCTAGGAACTCGGAAAGTTGTGACTAGCTGCGGAGGCTTGAGGGGGCGCATGAGGTTTGGGACTGAAAAGCCGTGCCAACCTCTCGGGTCACGAAGAGAGACGGCTGGGCCACAAAGCACCGAGGACAAGGATTCTGCGCCCTTCAGCAGGTCCACGGAGGGCGGCGGGAGCAGGAGCCTGGGCCGGCAGGTAAAGGGAGGGTGTAGGACCGAACCCGCAACGCGAGGGTCTCCACCCGGGCCCCGCCCCCGGGTTCCTCCCTGCCCCCTCCAACCGGACCGTGGTCTGGCCGCCGGTGATGCCCATGGTTTGCCTCTGCCGTCCCTACCCACCACCCGACCTCCCGACGCCACTCCTCACCCCGGCTCCAGATCCAGGTTCGACTTCGTTCCTAACGTCAAGGATCCCACAGGCTCCACTTCCGGTTCCGAGGGAGCCGTCGCACTTCCCCGGAAGTTCCGCCCCCACGCTCTAGAGCCGGGCCCCTCCTTCTGCCACGTCTGCACTAAACACGTAGGAGGCAACCCGGATGTCGCGCGTGCGCACTTCCCTCTCCCGGCTGCGTCCTGTATCTGGAGGAGGTTCGGTTGAGCTTGTTCCATATTCGCTTTTTTTTTTTTGGTCAGGCCCACTGTCAACTTATGATCTAGTCCACTGAAAAGAGCTGGGGAGACGGATTCAGATTGTCTTTACAAGGACATTCTCAGGCTGTGACGTGTGAGTGACCTCTGCTCCAGAGTCTGGTAGCCACTTCCTGCTAACCCTTGACCCTATTGATTTCCGTCCTCTTAGTGGACCTCACCCAGGACTTGAGCTGGTTCTGGCAAGGCTGGAGGAAATGCTCTGGCTCTCCTGACAGGCTTGGTGTATCACCTGGAGTTCTGACTGCACTTAACAGCGTGGGAAGTTTTGCCATGCTTTTTTTTTTTAATCTACCAAATGGATGTGACACCCACTTAAACTTGTGAAGAGGAATAATGGTCAGTGGTTACTGCTGGACTATTTCCCAGTGCACCTTCCTTCAGGGAGTAAAGTTCCACCGTGGCGAAGCCACGTTGGACAGTTCTTGTAGCAAGTGTCCCACGGTTGAATGAATTAGAATAACTGGAGTAAATATCTGTGGTGTATATTTCCACACACATGATTCACTTTAATCATTTTTTTAATTAAAATTTGGAAAGGTTTATTTATTTTTTTACTGGAAAGGTAAATTTACAGAGAGGAGATTGTTCATCTGCTGGTTTAATCCCCAAATGACCAAAAAGAAGCCAGAGCTGAGCTTATCCAAAACCAGGAGCCAGAAGTTTCTTCCGGGTCTCCGGCATGGGTGCAGGGGCCCAAGAGCTTGGGTCAGCCTCTGCTGTTTGCCCATGCCGTAAGCAGGGTGCTAGATGGGAAGTGCAGCAGCTGGCACTAGAGTTGGTGCCACAAGGTGGACAGTTAGCAATAATGTTTATTCATGTAACAATTTTTGAGTACTGCTGTGTGTCAAACCATATGCTAGGGGAAATATTCTTGGCCTCATGTGTGACAGTAGACAGTTATTGGGAGGCAAGAACGATTTATTCATGGGGGGGAAAAAACTTGATCTGTGTCAGTGCTGAGCTTGTCTCACTAAACAGGCCTGTCCTCACTTTGTAGTCAGAGCCAGAGTTAGTGGGTCCTCACATTTAGACTTGGCAGAAGTACAAAATTCACCTGAATATACTGACTCAAATTCTGTTGTCCACAGAGGATTGAAAGCCACTGGTCTTGGGAACTAATTTTCCATATTTAGCTGAAAAGTGTGGCACACCTGCCAGACAGGGCCCTCTGCTAAGCATGTATCGCTTAACACTGTGCTCCCTGGTAAGGAGTAGAGCCTACAGCATAGTTATTGAGGGTAGAGAGTGACAAGTTGCATTTAATTGGTTGCTGCGTTTCATTGGTTTTCTGTGGCCTGGGAAAGCAGTAGAGGATGGCCCAGAACCTTGGGACCCTGCACTCGTGAGGGAGTCCTGGAGGAGGTTCCTGGCTCCTGGCCTCAGATCGGGGCAGCACCGATCATTGTGCTCACTTGTAGAGTGAATCATCAGGCAGAATATCTTCTTCTCTTTGTCTCTCCTCCTCTCTATATATCAGACTTTGCAATAAAAATAAATAAATCTTTTTTAAAAGACCCTAAATCTGTAAGTACAACTTTCCATAATAAATCTCAGCAAAAATAAACAAATAAACAAAAAATCCTATTAATGACAGGTGTTAGACTGTTAGCCACAGTGCTGAGGGTGAGGTGTGCGCAAAATTGTGTTATACAGCCACCAAGTCCTGGTTTTTGGTTTTTTGTTGTTTGGGGGTTTTTTGTTTATTTGTTTGCTTGTTTTGTTTTTTGCCATCAGGTCCTGTATGTGGTCTTATTCTAGGGACTCAATAGCACTATTGATTTCCATGTGACTCTAATTACTACTGAGAATGAACTGAAAGCAAAAAAGAGTGACCTGTAACCATTAATATCGCAAAATGGCTGACATTAGTAGCATTCAATAAATGTTCAAATAATGATTGATTGAGTGGATTTTAAAAGCTTCCTTTTAAGTGATGATTGATTGAGTGTGTTTTCAAAGCTTCTTTTTAAGTGATGAGGCTAAGTGACTGCCTGAAGTTTCACAGCTAATAAATGATGAAATGGGAACTCAAGACTTGGGGCAGCAGAGAGGCAAGACAGGTTAAGCCAGCACCTGTGATGACAATATTCCATACAGGTCCTGGTTTGAATCCTGGCTGCTCCACTTCTGATCCAGTTTCCTGATAATGTGCCTGGAAAGGCAATGTAAGATGACCCTCTACACCGATGTGGGAGACCCACATGAAAGCTATACAGTTTTATGTAATAGTTTTTCTCGTAGTGTGCTAAATGCTGTTTGGATATATGATGTAGTCATAGAAAACATTGTGGTTGGGGGAGGGAGAACGGCATGATGGCTTAGTGGCTAAATCCAGCCCTGCCTCTTGATCCCATATGGGTGCCAGTTCCTGTCTTGGATGCTCTACTTTCTCATCCAATTCCCTGCTTGTGGCCTGATAATGCAGTAGAGGATGGCCCAAAGACTTAGGACCCCGCACACATATGGGAGACTTGGAAGAAACTCCTGGCTCCTGGCTTCAGATTTGCTCAGCTCTGGCTATTGCAGCCACATGAGACCACATGAGGAGTGAACCAGCACATGGGAAATATTTTTCTCTGTGTCTCCTTCTCTGTATAAGTCTGCCTTTCCAGTTAAAAAAAAAAAAAAAGTCAATCTTTGTTTTTTTTTTTTTAAGAAAACATTAGGGGCCCGGTACGGTAGCCTAGTGGCTGAAGTCCTCACCTTGCATGCCTAGGAGCCATGTGGACACCAGTTCATGTCCTGGCAGCTCCACTTCCCATCCAACTCCTTGCTTTTGGCCTGGGAAAGCAGTCGAGGATGGCCCAATGCTTTGGGACCCTGCACCTGTGTGGGAGACCTGGAAGGAAGTTCCTGGCTCCTGGCTTCAGATCAGCGCAGCACCGGCCATTGTGCTCACTTGGGGAGTCAATCATTGGACGGAAGATCTTCCTCTCTATGTCTTCTCCTCTGTGTATAATATGACTTTGCAATAAAAATAAATAAATCTTAAAAAAAACATTATTTTAGGGCCCGGCGCGGTGGCGCAAGTGGTTAAAGGTCCTCGCCTTGCACGCCTGGGATCCCATATGGGCGCCGGTTCCCTTCCAGCTCCCTGCCTGTGGCCTGGGAAAGCAGTCGAGGACAGCCCAAAGCTTTGGGAACCTGCACCCGCGTGGGAGACCCGGAAGAGGCTCCTGGCTTCGGATCGGCATAGTGTCGGCCTGTTGCACTCACTTGGGGAGTGAATCATTGGACGGAAGATATTCCTCTCTGTCTCTCCTCTCTGTATATCCGCCTTTCCAATTAAAAAAATAATAAAAATAAATCTTTAACAAAAAAAATATTATTTTAGGTAGAGATACTGATAAAGAGGGAAAGACACAGAGAGGGAAAAATCCAGGTGGGTTCCTAGATGAGCACGGTTCAAATCTCAGCTGCTCCTCTGATGCAGCTCTCTGCTAATGCAACTGGGAAAGCAGCAGAAAATGGTCCAAGTGCTTGGGCCCCTGCATCCACAAGGGAGTCTTGAAGAGAATTCCAAGCTTCTAGCTTCCATCCCAACCATCCTAGCCACTTTAGGAGATAAGCCAGTGGGTGGAATATCTCTCTTTCTCACTTTCTCTCTCTCTCCCATTTATCTTTCAAATAAATAAAATCAATTAAAAGAAAACACAACCCCCAGCACTGCCATGGGTTATCATTTCCATCTTGAGGAACAGGTTCATTCACACAGCAAGGGGGCACTGTTTCCTGAGTTTATGGAACAAACCTAAACCACTCCTTTCTGGAACTGAAGACCCTGCTGCTACTCCTTTGAAATGAAAGCAGCTGGGAGTAGTTCATGGTCCTATCAGAGAAGGCGAAGTCCCTGAGAGGGTGGACATCAGCTCTGCAGACCAAAGGGCTGGTACTCCTGAGTGCAGGAGAACGGGGGGCATGGAGGGCAGAGGAACATACTATAATTAGCCCAGGAGTAACGCAGACGGGGGAGGGAGGGGAGCACAGCCGGCAACTATTTTGAGCATGACTCGGATTGACAGGACGGGTGTGCTGGACTGTACTGATCCGAGGGCCAAGCTGCCCGCTTACGGTGTATGGTGTGGGGGGGTGGAGGCCTGGGGCCGCAGGAGCAGGACGGCAGGACAGGCAGGCCGGACGGGGTACCAGCACCTCGATTTCTTTCCCTGGGATACTATCCAAGCTCCGGAGGCCCTAGGCAAAGCTGAGCGATGGGTGCTGAGGAGGAGGTGCTGGTCACACTATCAGGGGGAGCCCCTTGGGGCTTCCGACTTCAGGGTGGGGCCGAGCAGAGGAAACCCTTACAGGTGTCCAAGGTAAGGGAGGTCCCTGGGAAACCCAAGGGAGCATGGAAAGAGTCACATTTATGACCTGTGGGGGCAGCGGGGCTGTGATGAGGTGGGGACAGGTGGGTGGGCAGGGAAGCATGTTCAAGTTTGGCAGTGGGCGTCATATCTGCACATGGGCTTCTTGTTGGGGGCTGTTAGAAACAGTAAGCTCCTGGTGCCCAGGGAGTAGAAAGAAAGCAGTGCTCTGCTTCCATTCTCTGTGGCGTGATGGTGGCAGGGGCCTGGGGCTGCTCATCCAGTGTTTGCTGTCCTAGTGTGTCTCCAATCCTAACCCTGGGAACGTGGGGAAGGCTCTCATTTCTCTCTGGCTAAAATGATATGTGATTAGCTGGGACTGTCTTGCCCAACCCTGCCCTGCCCTGCCCAGGCCTTCTGTGCTCCTCCTTCCCTAAGCCAGACCCTTTCCCTTGCTAGGCAAGATGTTTTTAGGTGCTGGAAACATTTATGGCCAAGCTGAAGACATTGTCATGGCTGCAGCCCACAGGCTTAATTTTCTGGACTGCAAAAAAACAACAAAAAAGGGGGGTGGATAATAACAGTGTGCACTCCTAAGAATCCAATGCCTAGCAGCTGTAGCACAGTGCCTAACACTTAGACACTTAGGGAATGAGAGCCATGTGCGAGCACATATGCTCCACACACATACGACCCAGAATCCACCTGGACTCCCTTCCTTCTGGAATGTTGTGCTAAAATCTTGGCTTTATAGCACCACCTGGAATTCTAGGGCCTAGAAGAGGATTGTTGGCCACTATAAATATTGCTCCTGGAGTAAACACTTGGGACTATGACTACTGTTTCTAACACCTTCGTCATGGAGTGCTCACCAAGTCTTTCAGTCAGTGATGACCCTAGTTCCCAACACCAGCTGGATTACTTCCTTCAACCTGTACCTCCCGTAGTCAGGTCCCCATGAACGCCTCCATTTCTACCCTGCAAATCCTTGTCTCCCCCAGCTCCTTCCTGTCCTTCCCTTTCCTCCCACCCTCTCTCATCTGCAGTCTCTAATTCAACATCGCAGATCCGCAGACGAAGCCAGGCTGGCAGAGCAGGACTCCGGGAGAGGGACCAGCTTGTGGCAGTGAATGGGGTCTCCTGCACCAGCCTCTCTCACGCCAGTGCCATGCATCTTATTGATGCCTCGGGGAACCAGCTTGTCCTCACTGTGCGGCGGTATGGGCCCTTCCCCAGTGTGCAAGTCTCCCACTACCTGTCTCAGCTCTGTGCCTCCCTGGCCTGGCTTCAGCAACTAACTATACAAGTACCTAGTTCTGCTTGTGCATTTCTGATGCTTGGGTACACCTCCCAAAGCTCCGAGTAAGAGATGCGAGTGTCAAGTGAATGTCTGAGTGTGGAGCCTACCTCAACCTTTGGCCTGTTAGCACATCTTCCTTTAAGCTCATTTCCACTCACCGCCTTGCAAGCACACTGGCCGGCCTCCCACATTGCCGTCTGATGTTCTCACTTCCTAACCCATCCATTCCAAGTGTCTCATTCCCCTACCTCTTTCTCACGACTCCTGCAGGTCTCTCTCTAGAGGCCAGTCATATAACTCACCCCTCAAGTCCTGTCATCTTTCCCATCCAGGGCAGCAGAGGAGGGACCCGTGCGATCTCCATCCCCGGGGGAGCTCCAGGTGCTGTCTCCTTTATCCCCACTGAGTCCTGAGCCCCCTGGCGCTCCTGTCTCCCAGCCTCTTCAGCCTGGGAGCCTCCGCTCACCCCCTGACAGTGAAGCTTACTATGGAGAGACAGATAGCGACATTGATGGCCCTGCCACCCAGGAGAAGCCTCGCCGCCCCCGGCGCCGTGGCCCCACAAGACCCACCCCTCCAGGAGCCCCACCTGATGAAGTCTACCTGTCGGACAGTCCTGCAGAGCCTGCACCTGCCACTCCCAGGCCTCCTAGCCAGGGCGGTGACAGCCGTGTGAGCTCCCCATCTTGGGAGGAGGGGGTGGTTCTCCAGCCACCCCCAGCTGAAGCCCTACTGTTACCCCATGGTCCCCTCCGGCCCGGCCCTCATCTCATCCCCATGGTGGGGCCTGTTCCCCATCCAGTGGCAGAAGATCTTACTACCACCTACACCCAGAAGGCCAAGCAAGCCAGTAAGTGTCTGAACCCCTTCTTCCCAGCCACCGTCCTTCTCTCTGAGCCCTCAATCTACTCCTCCATAACCACAATGCTACCTATGCCCCTTGGGAATAATCCTGAGGACAGGTGGAGAAGAGTGAAAAGTGGGAGGAGAGGATAAGTTGTTTCATGATCCCCATTATTTTTGGTGTTTGATCTGGTGTGGCAAAATGGTACCCCAGGAATGGATTAAGTAGCAAAAGCAGAAAGCAGCAATGAAGAGATGAAGGTTTTGGTGGTGGTGGTTGGTGATGATTGCTGTAGGTGTCATGAAGGAGTGAGAGCCAAGTACTGATGCAAGGCAGGGAAGCCTCTGCAAGTGAGGCCAGGCTATAGGGGCTTGTCACGGGGCTAATTACAGGCCTATGATCAGTACTATCTTTGACATTTGTAAGTTCAGCTGGGGATTCCTGGGACCTGGGAGAGCTCTGGGAAGTGGTGGAGGGAGGAGGGATCTTTGGCTCTTTATCTTAGGCAAGAATGTAGGCCGAGACAGAAAAAGCCAGCTCCCCTATCTAAGGCTCTCAGCTATTTTTTGATGTGAGCAACAGAATGAGGTTGAACAGTGAACTTTCTCCCTTGCTCTAGGCCTCTCAGGCCCCTCCCACAGGACTTTTCTTGTGAGCTCTTTAATGCCAGGATTCCCCCTCCAGTTCTCGCCTTTCTTTCCTCCCTGCCACCATTCTGATTCCAGGTCCTTAGAACTGGATGGCTTTAAATCCAGTACCAAGGCTAAGGACTTGACACTTAGTAGTCTAACATTCCGCGTGTCCAATATCACACAAAGAAATTCCAGATGCGTGGGCAGGATCCCATACCTACCCCTCCTCCCATTCTCATCTTAACACCCCCTCCCTTTCCCATCATGCTGGGCGAGGCCATAGCTGGCAGCTCAGGGATATTTTTAGACAAGCAGACCTCATTGTCCGGTGGGGCAGGATGGGGGGAAGGGAAGGCAGGTGGCCATGTCCATCACATCGTAGCTTGTGGGGCAGCCAAAAGAAGGGAAGGGGCCAGGCTCCAAAAATAGCACAGTGAGCTCACTCAGCTGCCACTTCTGGGGACGAGACAAAGGGGTTTAAAAAGGCTTGGGGGTGGCTCAAGCTGGTCCTGCTCCAAGCAACACTGCCATTCTCAGCATGGACACCTTTGAGCCCATCAGCCAAGCCACCTTCGACAAAGGCCCAGGTCCAATTCCTGAGCTCCAAGACCCATTCTATGCAGGTACTTCCCTCCCACATCCAAGAGAGACCTGGGGTTGAAAGCAGATAATCTATTGACAGTTTGGGAAGGGTCATCTTTGGGAATGAACGGTCTTCCTCTCTTGTCCCTGCTGCCTTTATGTGGTCCTCTTAGGAGAATTTCACTGCCCCTTAATTGGAAGGGGTTGATGCTATGGCCACATGGCAGGGGATTTTTGACATGACCTGTACAAACTCATGGGAATGGAATGTCTGTGTGTGTACAAGACAGGTATGTGTTGTAAATACATGAGACACGCATGTGGGAGTCCATGGGAGATGACATGTGTAACTGACAAGGCATCTGTGTACATGTGCAGTTAGCATCTGGAAAGCTCTGTGGGTGGCTTACTCACTCTGGGCCTTAGGAATATGCTGTTTGCTAAATTTACCTGCGTTATCTCACTTTATTCTCATAGCAGTCCTGTGAGGTAGCTGTTACCACCCTAATTTGCAGATGAGGAAACTGAACATCAATGAAGCAGCTTTTCCAGGAACCAAAAGCCCTGAGCTGAACCCTGACTCCAGTGCCTGCCCTCTCCCCCACAGTACGACTGTGTATTGCTCACGTGGGGGTGAGAGGAATGAGAGTCCTCAGCATGGAAAGTAGATGGGAATTTCAGCAATTTTTGTCAGGATGAGCTGGGGACCATGGAGCGGAAAGCATCCACGTTCCAGGCAGGGTCCTAGTCACTGGGCAGCCTCTCCCAGTCCCCAGCCCCATCTGGCATGGGAAGCTCTGCCCTGTTCCTTTTGAGCCCGAGTCCTTGGGTGCCAGCCTGGTAGCGGCTGCCTGAGCTGTCTACACAGAAGGTTTGGAACACAGGGGGAAACTCTGACCTGTCCCCCCGCCCAAGAAGCTTACCACAGCCTCCCATCTCCAACTGGGGGCAAGGAGAAGATAGGCCGCTGGTGACCTGAGGTGTGCTGCGGAGTTAGTGGCGGGTTCTCGTGGAGAGCAGCACTCCGGGCTTTTCCCCTGTGTTGGGGATCAGATGCTGCCCTTGGCTGTGAGTAACAGAGTTTTGAGGCTCAGGGCTGTGCCCTGGCAGTTGGGAGGCTAAGATCAACCCTAAAATTCTGCCCAATCTGTTAGTCTCATGATGCCAGCAAGGAAAACGTGGCCACAAGGCTTACCTGGCGTCCCTAGGTGTATGAACGCATCTGAGTGGCTGTGGTTTTTTGTGGGCCAAGTATGTTAAAATACACATATGTGAATGGAGGTGTACGTATGTCAGTTAGGGTACATGTGAGTGACAGAGAAAAGTACATTGGAGAAATTATGCCTGCGGCTGGCTTTTGCTAGAGTCTTGCTCAGTGATGCGTGAGGAGTTACTGCTTTGAAGGGCTCCCAATGTGAACTGCCTGAGAGGGTAGAAGAGTGAATGGAGATGCACCTTGCAGTGGGGCCTTTGTGTACTCATTACAGGGATGAGGCAGGAGAGAGGGTACCTCCCAGAGTTTGTGAGAAGGTTCTGGGCATGGTCTCTATAGTGGGAGAAGAGTGTCCTGCCTCATCTTCTCTCTCTGGGACCAGCCCTGACTGCCTGCCATAGGAGCAACACCTCCTCACCACCCCCACCTCCCACTGCCAGTCTGGAATGGGAGGCGGGAGAGGAATGCATGTGAGGTGGATAAGGGCACATCTCTGGGAAGATAGGAGTGCATTGGAGGGAGGAGAGGCCAGAGGAGCTGTGGTCAGCACCGGGCCAGGCCAGGCCAGGCAACAGGCTTCTTTCTGCCTTCCTCCTCTACCCGCCCTTGGTTTCACCTTTCATCCTCCACGTGGAGGACTTGGCCACAGGTAAGAGCCACGGTGGGTGCTTGTAGCAAGTGCAAAGACAGGAGCTGGGAGGCAGAAGCCAGGTGACTGGGGCCGGATGGGCAGCTCCGGGAGGCTCCTTCAGCCTCACTGACCCTGCCGCCTTTGCCCTCCTCAGAGCTTCAACGGGCAGAGAGTCTTCAGGAGAAGAGTGTGAAGGAGGCCAAGACCAAATGCCGGACCATCGCCTCCCTGCTGACCGCAGCCCCCAACCCCCACTCCAAGGGGGTGCTTATGTTTAAGAAACGGCGGCAGCGAGCCAAGAAGTACACTCTAGTGAGCTTCGGGGCCGCGGCTGGGACCGGAACTGGGGAGGAGGAGGACGGGGTCCCCCCAACCAGTGAGTCTGAGCTGGACGACGAGGCCTTCTCCGACGCCCGCAGCCTCACCAATCAGTCGGACTGGGACAGTCCCTATCTGGACATGGAGTTGGCCAGGGTGGGTTCCAGCGCGGCCGAGAGCCAGGTCCCCGGGCTGACTGACGTCTCCGGACGAGGGGTTCAGCTCTTTGAACAGCAGCGCCAGCGTGCTGCCTCCAGTACCCAGGAGCCTGCTCACGGTGGCCCAGCGGCCTTGTTCAATGGGCAGGGTCTGCAGTCGCCGCCTCCCCCTCGGGCCCAGAGTGCTCCCCCGGAGGCAGCCGTGCCCCCGCCCAGCCCTCTGCCAGCCCCCCTCAGCAGCCCCAGCCCCTACCCCGCGGGGGGTGTGGCGCCCTCCACCCCGGCCACCGGGGTCTTCAACCGGTCAGCCAGGCCCTTTACCCCGGGCTTCCAAGGGCAGCGGCCAGGTACTACCTCGGTCATTTTCCGTCCCTTGGCACCCAAGAGGGCGAGTGAAAGCCAGAGAGGCCCGAGCCCCGCCCCACCCCCCTTCTTGTCCCCTCCGCCCATCTTCACCACGGTGGATCCCAGCCCCGCCGCCGCCTCCGTGCCGGCCTCTGGCTCCCCCAGTACCCCACGCTCCTCGGGTCCTGTGACTGCCACCAGCTCCCTCTACATCCCAGCTCCCAGTCGGCCTGTCACCCCAGGTGGAGCTCCAGAGCCTCCCGTCGCCCCCAGCGCAGCTGCCATGACCTCCACCGCTTCTATCTTCCTATCGGCGCCTCTGCGATCCTCGGCGCGTCCAGAGGCGCCGGCCGCCGGCCCCGGGACCCCCGGGACCCCCGGGGCCCCCAGCAGCCGGGAGCAGCGCATCTCTGTGCCGGCTGCCCGCACCGGCATCCTGCAGGAGGCTCGGCGCCGCGGGACGCGGAAACAGATGTTCCGACAGGGGAAGGAGGAGACCAAGAACTCGCCCAACCCCGAGCTTCTCTCGCTGGTGCAGAATCTGGATGAGAAACCTCGGGCTGGGGGTGCGGAATCGGGTCCTGAAGACGACGCGCTGAGCCTCGGCGCCGAAGCTTGCAACTTCATGCAGCCGCCAGGGGGCAGGAGTTACAAGACCGTGCCCGCTCCCAAGACCCCGCCTCCAATGGCTCCCAAGACCCCGCCCCCTGCGGCTCCTAAGACTCCACCTCCTGTGGCCCCCAAGCCCTCGGCTCGAGGGCTCCTGGATGGGCTGGTGAACGGGGCGGCCTCTTCAGCTGGAATCTCTGAGCCACCAAGGCTGCAGGGCAGGGGTGGGGAGCTGTTTGCCAAGCGGCAGAGCCGTGCGGACAGGTATGTGGTGGAAGCTACACCTGCTGCTGGCTTAGGCCTTGGTCCTGGCCCTCGACCCCGAAGCCCTTCTCCTACCCCTTCACTGCCCCCTTCCTGGAAGTATTCACCCAACATCCGAGCCCCGCCTCCTATTGCTTACAACCCACTGCTCTCACCCTTTTTCCCGCAGGCTGCCCGAACTCCCACCAGTAAGGCCCAAACACAGGGGCCGCGGGCAACCCCCAAACAGGGCATCAAGGCTCTGGATTTCATGCGGCATCAGCCTTACCAGCTTAAAACTGCCATGTTCTGTTTTGATGAGGTTCCCCCAACCCCTGGCACCACCTCAGGACAGCCCAAAACGGCCCGGGTCCAGGAGATCCGCAGATTTTCAACACCGGCACCCCAGCCCACTGCAGAGCCGCTGGCCCCTACGGTGCTTCCCCCGCGAGCGGCCACGACCCTGGATGAGCCCATCTGGAGGGCAGAGCTGGCCGCAGCCCCTGTAGCCAGCCCTGTCATTTCTCCAGAATCTCCTCGGGGTCTGGGGTCCTCCCCCAGCTCCTGTGGTTTCCAGGTAGCCAGGCCTCGGTTCTCAGCTACCAGGACAGGATTGCAGGCTCACGTGTGGAGGCCTGGGGCAGGGCACCAGTGAGCAGGGCAGGGGTCCTCAGGACCAAGGAGAGGTGCCCCATCCAGCTCCCACCCCCATAGTTCCATCCCTCTGGAGGCTGCATCCCTTCCTGCCGAAGGTGGTTTTGGAGCTGGCATCGCGTCTGCAGCTCTCTGCCCTGCTTTTCAACCTCTCCTGTCTGCTTCAGTATCTCTGCATCTCTTTGTGTCTCCTGGCCTGGATTTCTCGTCTTTCCCCGCCGCTCTTCCCATACTCCCCCACAGGTTTCTGTTTCTTTGCATTCATCTCCCCTCCGTGGCCTCATTTTCACATTTGGCCAAGAAGCACACCCGTAGAAAGTGCCCGTGGGACCTCAGTGAAGGAACTTGCCAGCGGGAAGACAGCAAGGGGACTGAACTGACCTGTTTGCACTGAGCTCTGCCTGCCTCACCGAGCTTTTTCAAGCTTGGCTGGCCTATAAGTAGGTGTGCTTGGTGGTACGCCTGCAAGTTTTGTGCGTGTGTGTGTATGTGTGTGTGTATACATGGATATGCTCTGCTGACCAAGGCAAGAGGAAAGAGGAAGTCTGCATACGCAGCTGGCTTTTCTCCTTGGGTGACAGCAGAGTCCATCCCCATGTGGCGTCAAGTGGGGAGAGAGGATTTCACCTGAGAATAAAACCTTAAAGACAAGCCATCTGTGCAGCAGGTACACAGGCTCTTGTAAAACCAATGGGCTCTGAGAGGACAGCAGGGTCAGGACAGACGGTGTGTATGGCCTGTTAGACCAGCTAGACAAGGAAGAGAACAAGAATTCATTTATTCCTGCTAAATTTCAGCAGCAGCAACTGGAGAGGGCTGTGCCGAGCAACCCAGGATTCGAGAAAAAATAAAAAGATGGAGATTGTCCTCGGTGAATAGTTCAGGTAGTTCAGTGGTTGTTGGCTTCCAGGGCCTCAGGGGCCTGAGTCAGAGAGGAGGGAGGCCGACTTGGGTATGATAGAGACAGCAGGAGCAGAGCAGGCTTGAGCAGTGACAGAGCCAAGGCAGGGGGAGGAGCCTGGTGAGGGAGCGTGTGGTTGGCAGAGAGTCAAGTTGAGTCACAAGAAATCCCAGAGTGTGAGGAGGGGGTTGGGAGACCATGAGAGGGGGAAGAATGTGTTGGCTAGAGTGAAGGGGGATGGATGATGGGGGAGTGGGGCGTGAGGGTGTGTGTGCTGAGTGAGTTCTTGGTGTCTGTGCTACCTCCTGTGTGTCTCTCCTTCAGTTTCTTTCTTGAGACTCCCGGGGCGAGGCCAGGGAGACAGCCAGAGCCAACGCCCCCTTCTGTCCTGGCTCACGACTCAGAACCCAGCTCCTGTTCCTTTTCAGCTTCAGGGCTGTGTCTCAGCTCCTGCAGGCATGTGGGCGCCCCTGCTGCCAAGCCCAGCCCTCAGACACGTGTGCTGTTTGATCTGGACTGTATTAGTTTCCTTTGCATATTGGGTGTGAGTCACCATACTTTGGGTTTGTGCACAATAATAAACGTATGCCCCACACCTTCTGTTGCTGTCATCTCTTCTCGTTTTATGCCCAGTTCCTAATGCCCCTTGACCCTCCTCTCATCCTTTCCCAGGATCTGATTCCTGGTATGTCTCCATGTCTGCCTTCCCACTTTCCACCCAATTGCCCTTTTTTCCTCCCTAGGTCTTTCGCCCCTCTCGGCTAGTTCTTCCTCACTGCTATTTAAGTCACCTCCATCACTGCTCTGGTCCCCGCCCCTCAACCCCACATCCTCAGCCACATTCTGCTTGTTTCCTTCATACTTTTTTTTCCCTCCTTCATAATTTTCAGGCAAGTTCTCTGTTTACAGAATTATATAAGCTGGAAAGTCCCTCTGAGCTCTGGATCACCAACATTTCTCTCAGCTCCGTGAAGGGAGCAGTCATGTTCAATAGTCTTTGAGAACTAAATGGGAGCGGCGCGGGGGGCGGGTGGGAAAGTGGGAACTGATGACTGGAGGTAAAGCTGGGATAGCACAGGGGTGAAAGATTCATCAGAAGGGATGGAGACTAATGAAGAGAAAGCAAGCATGCTCAAAGAAATGAAAGGCTGGGCAGTAGCCTAGTGGCTAAAGTCCTCATCTTGCACACACCAGGATCCCATATGGGCACCGGGTTGTGTCCCGGCAGCCCCATTTCCCTTCCAGCTCCCTGCTTGTGGCCTGGGAGCAGTTGAGGATGGCCCAGAGCCTTGGAGACTGGGAAGAAGTTCCTGGCTCCTCTTGGCTTTCTATCTGTAAATAGGATCTGCCTTTCCAATAAAAAACAAATCTTTTTAAAAATTTTATTATTATTTTTTTTATTGGAAAGGCAGATATACAGAGAGGAGAGACAGAGAGGAAGATCTTCTGTCCAATGACCCACTCCCCAAGTGAGCGCAACAGCCGATGCTATGCCGATCTGAAGCCAGGAGCCTCTTCCGGGTCTCCCACGCGGGTGCAGGGTCCCAAAGCTTTGGGCCGTCCTCGACTGCTTTCCCAGGCTACAGGTAGGGAGCTGGATGGGAAGCGGGGCTGCTGGGATTAGAACCGGCGCCCATATGGGATCCTGGGCGTGCAAGGCGAGGACCTTAACCATTGCACCACGCTGGGCCCAAAAAATCAAATCTTAAAGAAAAAAAAATATTTACTTGAAAGGCAGAATAAGAGAAAGGCAGAGACAGAAAGAAATCTTCCATTTGCTGATTTTACTCCCCAAATGACTGCAAATGGCTGGGGCTAAAAACCAGAAGCCTGGAATTCCATCAAGATCTCCACATAGGGGGTCCCTCCCATGTGGGTGTAGGGGCCCAAAGACAAGGACCTAGATCATTAGTGGAGCATCCAGGACTGTAACCAACACCTAGATGGGATGCCAGCATTGGAGGTGGAGGCTTACTTCATGTGCCAGCACTTTAGTCCCTTTCTGAAATCCTTAATTTCTTCTTCACTTTTGAAAATTTTATTTTTTATCGGGAAGTCAGATCTACAGAGTGGAGACAGAGAAAAAGATCTTCTATCTGCTGGCTCACTCCCCAAGTCAGAGCTGAGCCAATCTGAAGCCAGGAGCCAGGAGCTTCTTTCGGGTCTCCTATGTGGGTGCACGGTCCCAAGCCATTGAACCATCCTCCACTGTTTTCCTGGGCCCCTAATTAAATCAAGCCCCTTTTTTCAAGATTTTTATTACTTATTTTTATTGGAAAGTCAGATTCACAGAGGGAGGGAGATACAAATAGAAAATTTCCATCTGCTGGTCCAATCCCCAAGTGACTGCAACAACCAAAACTGAACCAAACTGAAGCCAGGAGCTTCTTCCCACACAGGTGCAGAGTCCCAAGGCTTTGAGCCATCCTCTGCTTTTCCAGACCACAAGCATGGAGCTGGAAGGGAAGTGGAGCAGTTGGGATACAAACCAATGCCCATATGGGATCCTGGCACATGCAAGGCAAGGATTTTAGCCACTAAGTTACCTATGCTTAAAAACAAACAAACAAACAAAATCCCACATCTTTGAAGAAAAGTCTCATTGCTCCCATGTAACCAGCAGAGGGCAGGTTTGTGTCAATTACCACACCCAGAGTCCCCTAGTCCCAATTACAGTTTTGAGAATTCTTAAGGGCACAGAAACTTATGTTTAGAAACTCATCCACATTTTTGCTCCCTTAATTTTTTAAAGATTTATTTTTATTAGAAAGGCAGATCGGATTTACAGAGAGGAAAGACAGAAAGATCTTCCATCTGCTGGTTTACTCCCCAAACAGCTGGAACAACCAGAGCTGCACCAATCCTAAGCCAAGAGCCTGAAGCCTCCTCCAGGTCTCCCATATGGGTGCAGGGTCCCAAGGCTTTGGGCTATCCTCTACTGCTTTCCAAGGCCACAAGCAGGGAGCTGGAAGGGAAGCAGGTCAGCCAGCATACAAACAAGCATTCATATGAGATGTCAGCCCCTTGAGGATTAGCCCATTGAGCCACTATGCCAGCTCCTTTCTCTTTGTTATTCTGTCTTTCAAATAAACAAATAAATAAATAATCGTTTTTTTAAAAAAATCACGGAATAGAAGGGTAAAGTGAAGATGAGTGGAGAGCTCACTGAAGGGCAGTGGGTATCTGGGAAGCTGTAAAAGCAGTTAAAATGAGGCAGTGGTGGCTGCAGTTGGGGAACAGCAGCGGCTGGTCCCAGAACCTGCGCAGGAGGTGAGGGAAGGCCTAGGCTGTTAGTACACCCACTGAGGAAGCGGTTAGGCTTCTGACAGACTTCTCCCAGGGGGGCTTCCTGTGTTCCACATAGAGGTTCCTTGGGCATGGTGAACATGGGACAGGCCAAATCTTACAGGTGTGTGCTCCTTTTTGAGGAAAATCTTAAGTAGGAATCTCAGAGGATGAGGGCCTGGCGCAGGTCTAAAGCCTAGCTGTGCTTCTGCCACATCTCTCCTGCGCGTTAGGCTCAAATAGCAAATGAGGGTTAGAGGAAGCCCGGGTGTGTTCACTTGTTCTTAAACCTACTGGAGTTGAAGAGGAAAAAAAGTCAAGCAGACAGAAAAACTAGATACATCTTCCCCACAATCATTCCAAACTGCCCACAAAGCACCGGGTCTGATAAATTTTATCCCTTATCCTGCCAAGATGCAATTTGCACAAAGAAAAGACCAAGCAATCCGGGAGCAGCTCCATTGGGAAGACTTCCTGTCCCCAAACACAGAGCCTTAAGCCCTCCCACTCCTGACTCCAGCCACGGGCCCTCCAGCTCCAGCCTGGATTGGTTCTCAGTGGCCCTCAGAGCAGGTTCTCCAGGCTGTCTTTCTCTTTATCCCTTCCACTCCGCTGCCTGCTTTCTCTCTCTCTCTCTCTCAGTCTTCAATTTCTCCTCCAAGGCGTCTTTGGATCTCAGAGTCCAGTGAAGACAGAAGGGGAGTCCCCGGGTGGGCGGGCTTGTCCCTGGCTCAGACAGCTCTGGGGGAAGACTCCCAAAGGCCTTTCCTCCCTTCTGCAGCCGTGGGGCAGGGAGGCAGGATCCCGGTTTCAGG